ATTAAAGTAAAAAATAATAAATTTTCTGCCCATCTTTTATCATTATATTATATATTATAATATGTATATGACATATTGTTATATTCGAGCCAGGCGACGGGACAACGCAAAGCCACCGTCGCCCGAAATATGTCTTGTCGTATCTACTTTCGGTGCTTTTAGGCTTTTCAAGCACAGGTCACCGTCCTCGTCAAACTCATCGATTATGACGAAAGTTTCTACGAGCAAACTAACCCATAGATACGGTCCACTGAGTTTCTCGCCGGATCTTCTCATCGGTCGCGATTCTAATCCAGTGGTAGATTCTGCGAAGCACTGCTTGCTCTTGCTAGGGCTAGTATTAGAAAATTTTCTCAGGTTGAGCCCCTGAGCTCAGCTACCCGCGTCCCCCCAAGTCCGCGTGTAGCTGAAATAACCCCTTAGGCTGCCAGCGAATAGGCAGGGAAAACAAAACACATAATATGTCCACATTAAATTCATTGCTATTACAATTTTGCGAATTAAATTTCTTCTATGGCAAGTATTAAATTAGAAAATAACTGGTTATTAGCACTTCCTCCTCTTCTAGTCGTCTTCCTCTTTACTGAGAATCGTGACTACCCCGATGAGAGATTAGTCCCTCTTCAATAATGCTCCTCCGTCTGTTTATCTGTATATCCTTGATGTCATGCGTCATATTAGCACATAAGCGTGTTTATAATTGCAAATATAATGTTTATTGAAAACCTTCTTTTTACTTACTATGTGAATTTCATTATTCGCATTACAATTTTAATACAGACGTACGAGTATTCAAGAGAATTTTCGAACAATAGTATTTTTTTATTCAAATTCTCAAGCTATGTACCTAAAGCAATTGTTTGGTAGACGGTTGTAGCAATTTATAATAGGTTTTCACATTGTGATCTATTAACTGAATGCTTGTAAAAGTTATTTTCAATATTAAACGGTCAACGACCTGACTATTATTTAAAAAAATGAAATGGAATCAAATCCAATACAGCGTCTTTATAAGCGAAACGTTTGGCGTGTTTTGCATGACTGGTTTCGGAGTTTCAATACCATAAAAATATTTGATTTTTCCTTACTAAAAACAGTTAGTAGTTGAGTTTATTTATAATGCAGTTAATTAAAAACCAAATTGAGAATTTATTTTTAGATTATCAGTTCATGAACACACTGACACGTCTCACGTATGCCTCAAACCTCTGAAATATTTACAACCACACCAACTAAATATAGTTTTAGATTAAGATTCAAATTCAAAAACTCCAAGGCATAGTACAGGAAAAAAAACCTTATTCATTTAAGAAACTGACTAAAAATGTGGATTATTCATTTAGTTATTTAGTACATACAATATATTGCTGGTCTACAAACCGTAATCAAATCATTCTCACTTCGTTACCTAGGTAGGGTACGATAAGCCGACCTCGTACAGACAAAAATACTGATAACGTTGCTTTTTTTTTAAATTTTAAACCAATCCATATGTTTGTCTGTTTATGTTTGCACCATGTCTTTCAGTGAACTGAATTTGCCCTCTAAATATCTCTCTCTCTGTAGAGATAGATTAGATAGATTATGGAAACATTTTTGTTTGAACAACTGAAATGCAAATATATTCACATCATCAACTACAAATGTTTCTTCCATTAATGATAAATATTATGTTAAACATACTTATGGGCACCGAACAACAGTGCTGTTTTTCTTTTGTCATGTAATTTACAATACAACTGAGTATTTTAGAAGTAGAGTAGAAGAGATCAAAGCCTTCCGCGCGACTCCGTCGTAATATCGACTCTGAGAATACCAACATTTTCGGACTACTTTTTGGATTTTCTGTGCCATGCCAAGTAGGCAATGTACGCAAAAATCTTTGATGTGTTTAATGTATTTATACCTATTTAATTAGAAACGGACGTAATCCATAATAACAGTGACATTTAAGACTAATCTTAACAAATGTATACTATTGCAAAGTATCTAATAGTCTATATTAGACTGTATTGTGAATCCGTTATATCCGAAATATTATCCGAACATAGTATAACCCAAAATATAGTATCGTGGAATTGTCTTTGGTCAGTAGTGGAGAATCGACTCCACTGTAACAGTAGTTCGTATTTGTTAGTCAAATGCGAAGGTCAAATGCGAAAAATAATATTTAAATGCACGCCTAAAGCCACTGCATGATTCAGTAATGTTTTCATGCAGACCACATTGCAACGAACATACTTACTACTAACGTAGGTATAGATGGCAATTAGAAAACATTGAAACTGAAAATCCATTAAGATTATGTTTACAATACGTTTAAATAACGCCTGAGCATGACTGTACCCACGAGCTTTCTGATTCTATTCTGGCTGCATCTATTTAGAGACGTTCTACTCCGTGACCAAGGTACACATGCTTAACTAACACAGTCACCCTTGCACATTGAAACACGTATTTACGGTAAATCTTTATTCTAGTTAGTAATGACAATTTCTACCTTTTTTATTGCATAGGTGGGTGGATGAGCTCACAGTCCATCTCGTGTTAAGTGGTTAACGGAGCCCATAGACATATACAACGTAAATGAGACCTTAGAACTCATATCTCAAGGTGAGTCCTTATTAGTACATAGTTACAACGGCTGCCCCACCCTTCAAACCAAAACGTATTAATGCTTCACGGCAGAAATAGGCGGGGTGGTGGCACCTACCCGTGCCGACTCACAAGAGGTCTTACCACCAGTACCCTAAATACCTACATACCTATATACTAAATACCTTTATACTAAATACCTACATAATGTTATTAAACTTAGACAGTTAACTTTATGATTAAAGTATAAACTTATAATACGTTGTTAGCGGTTAGTTTTTTTTTTATTGCCCTTGTAGGCAGACGTGCATACGGCCCACCTGATGGTGAGTGGTTACCGTCGCCCACGGACTTCAGGGAATGCCAGGGACAGAGCTAAACCGCTGCTTACCGTCAACTTTATCGTCAACTTTATTGAAAAATCCAGTAACCCACACATAAAAAAGTTTTGTCGGCTTATCTGTGTTTGTGCACGCTAATCTTAACAATGACTCACCAGTTTGGATGATGTTTTCAGTTATTATATACATAAGCATACGTTTTGAAACCAAAATAAAATAACTGTATTATGGACCATTTAGAACTATATTTTTCCTGTATTTTGTACATACTACTACATATTATAGATGTTAATTTACTTAATAGTACTATTATTACTATATACGGTGTGTTTTTTAGTTTAGTTTAAGATATAAAACAAAAAAAAATATATTCACTAAAGTGCTATGATAAAGATTTACAAGAAAATAACTTCTTTTGAAACAAAAACAGAAAGATTTTTTTTCATTTCTTTAAAGAATATTTTTACTTTAAAGAATATATTAAACACATTTTACAAAGCTGATGTTCGAATAATCCAAAAATGATTAGTTTTTAGGCTACGAATAAATAATAAGTCTATTCGTAGTTTTTAGGCAAGGCCCGTACGGAATTAGAAACTGTCACATAAATTTTGACGTCCAGGGACATGTAACTACTCAATATTCCAATTAACATCGATCTAGTAATTATTTTGAAAGGAGTGGCTCATAGTATTGTTTAACCAGTCATAAATAAGCAACTGTTTAAAATAGAGCCGCTGACATCATACAGTAATTAAGTAAGTTTGAAATTGGTTTGAATATTTTTTTATGTTTCAAATAATTTTGATGTATATTATATTTCTTAATTTATACATACATATGTATTGTGTAGGCATATATTTAACACTATATAATTTAACTGATACTATAATATCGACTTAGTGTATTCGGCTATTATTTTCGTTAAAATTTATATTCTACACTTTCCACTCGCATATTTCCCATTTTAGTATGTTAGTAGCATTCTAAAAGAAAACTCATGATGGGTCGAGCTCGCCTTTATTTTTGATATCATAAACAACATGACGGTTTATGAGCATTCTAGGTCCTATTCTTTGTTCATAAATGATCCGTTCTGCATCGTACTATAGTTGAACTTCGCTCTAGTGTAACTCTTAATGTGGCTAGTTCCCATTCATTGTCTCACGCTTCGCAGAGAGAAAGGTCGCGATCTAAATACCTGCGTCTTCTATTATATTGTGATTGCAGACGTTGCACAATTCAAAACATCGTGATCTCTCAAAGTATTTTTATGAGGTCGCCGCTGTAAATCCTGACCACACAGGAGTTATCATTGTGGAAGTAAAACGCGAGAAAATATCCGCGATATATATTGTTTTTCATTTATTCGTGTTTTATTAACTATTATTATAAGTTTATTCTTTAGCGTCCTTCGGCCCTTGCCGAAGATCTTATGTAATGGTCTGAGCGGTTTTTATTAAGAAACCGGTTTATGACCCCGGCATATCACTTAATCATAGCACCTAGTGCTATGTTTCCTAATGTTGTGATAGTTATATCGTAATAATTTTAAACCGACTTCTTGGGAACGGGATGAAATGTGTTGTTACGAAATGATAAAAATTGTTTTCTATGTTTTTAATCTGCTTTTGAAGCAAGTTAAAGTACACATTCATACCCCTCGGTGTATATATTATGGCTCGTCACATATGCTAAGCTTAACTTATTTAGAAAGTCATATGTGCATTCTGCAACGGTGGTCGAAGTGAGCAAAGTGTATTAAAACTGAAAATACAGTTGCGTTCGTTGAAAATCGAGAGGAAATTTATAAGGCCATCAATAATACTGGTTCCAGTTAGTCCAGTTGTAACCATGTTGTCCATATTAACACAAAAATTAAGAATTAACCTTGTGTTTTTTATAATTTACCCTAGCAGGCATACGAGCATTCGGCCCATCTGATGTTGAGTGGTTACCGTCGCCCAGATTTCGAGATGGTGTGTAAGCTCCTATGATCGAGAACAGACTCGATATAAATTTGAAAAAGTTGAAAGATTTTAATTGTGACTTCTCTAATTCCAGTGCAAATTATGAATAAGTAAAAAAGACGAAATGACTATTCTTCTTTACGATTACTGTGAGTTGGAGGAGAGGGCATCGAAACATCTCAAGACCTGGAAAGGTACGTAAATTACCAACCAAATAAAAACCACATGTTCTGCGGTATTCAGTTTTTCCAGTAAAATTAATAGTTTTTTTAAATATACAAGTCGATTCCCCTTGTTCGACTGTCATCTGTATTTGTCATTATGTAACTTAGCGTTCAATCATCAGGCCATGGCCAATTCAATTCGTACGTTTATGGGTTTTAAGTTGCCTAAAATTTGCAATCTTAAATCAACATGAGCTCATGTTTGTTGAAACCACACCTTTTTGAGGCCACGATTAAAAGTCTACGCCAGCAGCGGTAGGTACGTGATAAGATCTTGACGAGTAGGTATAATGCAAATTAGAGTTTCTTTTGTACCGTACTGAAGTACAAAATTGAAGTGAAACGAAATCAGAAGACTGGGCTTCGTCAATTGGCCTTCCTTCACTATTCTTTTAGTGCCTACTATATAATTTTAAGTCTTATCTTCTGCGGTGTTAGTTCTATTTTATTTACTATTAATGTAGTCAATATTTTTTGTAATAATCTGCTTAATGTCCCCATTACATATTACTCGACAGTTGATTTAAAAAACGACCTTACTGATTTAGGCTACAAAACTCATTATTTATGATGAATGAAACCTTGTTCTTATTAGTGGCCGGAGCATGGTGTATGACGCATTTTGTGGTGGGAGTTGTTATTTATAGTCGAATATTCCCGGTACCTACGTGATAATAACATAGAAAATATAGTGCGCGTAATTTGATTGTAAAATTTAAAGGCAATGTAGGTCCAAATTTTAATGACTTAACTTGAAATAGTGCTTATAAGTCGTACCGTAACACGTTTTTTAACATATTTCTCTTAGAAATGTATTTTATTCTGAACATAATAGAACCGAACTTATAATAGCTCAAAGAGTTATTTCAACTATGCCCGGTTTGGTAAGTAAGCCCACGGGGTCAGCATGGGAAAAGCTGCTAACCCTAGCCCTAGCAAGAGCAGTGTTTCGCTGAATCGACTTCCGGATCGAAATCTCTCATGGAAATATCTAGTTAATCTAACAAAGATGTCTCCCATTAAGTTTTGTATATTTACTAGTAATAACTTAGATCACATCGTGAGCCGGCACGACTATATATATCACCATCACCCTCGTGTGTGAAGGTGTTCGGTGGTAAGCGACATTCGTTCCTTGGGAAATTAAAATGACAATATGACATTTTGCAATTAAAATACATTACAAATATAAGATAGTCGTAGTCGTAGTGGCCTAAGGTAGTCGTCGTGGCCTAAGAGATAAGAAGTCCGTGCATCCGTATGTAGCGATGCAACAGTGTAGGCTACCAGCATAGGTAGGAAAAAAAAAAGTTCGAATACCGCAGACGGGTACCAATTTTTCTTATGAACTACGTACTTAACAAATATTCACGATTGACTTCCACGGTGAAGGAATAACATCGTGTTATAAAAATCAAACCCGCAAAATTATAATTTGCGTAATTACTGGTTGTAGATAGATTCTCTTGTGAGTCCGCTCGGGTAGGTACCGCCACTCCGCCTGCCGTGAAGCAGTAATGCGTTAATTAATATCACTGCATTGCATTTTTCCGCATTCCAAATACCAGATTTTGTTATTCTTCAGGTCTACTTCATAATCACTTAGGAACTAGTAACCTGAAAAATGAAGTCTTGAACTAATATAATTTTCTTTAATGTTTTTCAGCATGGCATTTAGTATTGTACGTATGCGCTGCGATATTTGGCGTAGTCAACTATGTCTTTCTACAACACACGATGAAACTGGTCGATAACAACTGTGTGTTATACCCACGACAACTAGAATTTCGAGAAATCGACGTATTAATTAATGGTACTAGTTATTTAACCAGTCCAAATATAACTAATAGTGATATATTTGATGATTCGGAAGCGACTGGAATTGCTAATGAAACTACTGTTACTGATTCTAATGATGTAGTCAAAGACAACTATACCGCGCCAATTAAAATTATTAAAAGAGATGTTACAGGTACGGTAGTACCAAATGTCCAATTATCAAAAGAAAATATTATTATATATTCAGGTGAGTGTTTTTTAAATCAGCTAACATTCTGTAGATGAGTATTTATTATATTCACTTAATGGTGGTAGGACCTCTTGTGAGTCCGCGCGGGTAGGTACTACCGCCCTGCCTATTTCTGCCATGAAGCAGTAATGCGTTTCGGTTTGAAGCGTGGGCAGCCGTTGTAACTATACTTGAGACCTTAGAACTTATATCTCAAGGTGGGTGGCGCATTTACGTTGTGGATGTCTATGGGCTCCAGTAACCACTTAAGACCAGGTGGGTTGTGAACTCGCCCAGCCACCTAAGCAATAAAAAAAAAAATCAGCTATCTTTACGTGTACCTACTACTGACTTGATTGTTTTTCATTTATCGTAGAAGTGAAATGGATGTTGAAGTCGCATTACATTATTTTACGTTGGAACTAGAGGGAGAAAAGTATCTTGCGGAATAATATACTTATAAATTGAGGATATTACGGATCGGTGATGCGGATGTAGCAGGACTCGAGAGGTGGCACACTCTCGGGTCTTTTAATTAATAACCCGATAGACTAGACTATACTTTACTATAGATAGGCACTAAGAATGTATAAAAAAAGGTTGTAAATTTACGGTTTATTTTATTTTCTCACTATTAATCTTAGTCAAGTTAATAGCCTCAAAACATTTAGTCTCCGTCTTTCAATTCCTTATAGCATTAATTATGCAGTATCTTACAGAATTCACACAAAATTTAAAGTTGCATAATATATAATAATAAATAATAATATATAGGTAATACATGACATTTAAACCTAGCGATATTCCTGACCTGAAACTAATCAAATTTTAAGGTAACTCAACTCGTCGATTAGTACTGGACACGTCTAGGTCTTTGTTCGGAAAAGACAATGACTGCCAGTATGCCGAGTATATGCCTGTATTGTCAACTGTTTTCGCAATTACGTGGATTGTTATGTTCACAATTTGTCCGGGCGGAGGCTATGCTCGAACTGGGTGAGATAAAATCTAATAATCTAATCTAATGTTCACACTGTTCACACACACAAATTCATTTATTTAAACAATTATAAACACAAATTGAACATATTGCATTACTAGCTGAGTCCCGCGATGTTACACGCGGTCATTGTCGTACCGCTGGTGACGCCGCTGGGCGAAGCTAGTCCAGTGAAAGTCCCGTCAAAATCGGTCCAGCCATTCCAGAGATTAGTCGGAACAAACAGACAGACAGACATACAAAAGTTGTGAAAAATGTTATTTTGGTGTATGACCGTATATATATTCATATGCATGTAGTAAAAAGCGGTTATTACAATATTACAAACAGATACTCCAATTTTATTTATATGTATAGATTAACTACACGACTGTGCATTGAATTGATTCAAAGTATATATGTATCTGTTTTTTTACTTTCTCGATCGTGTAAAAGTTAAATTCGTATGGAGTTGGAACAGCGCCCCTAGCGGAAAACGAAGGAAAATAAAAAAAACTCGCACTAAGCACAATGTTTTCTCAAGTGATTTAACACAAACTTCATTTTCTATATTTGCAGTCTCCAGCAGCCGTGGCGTATATTAATGCCAGCCTTGTTATTTTCGCTAGTAATGGCAGGTCTCACTGGCTATAGTTTTACCATGACGAACAAGGGCTTACACGCGTTCTGTGAAGCATTTTTCGAAATCACCAATTCGACTAAGTGAGTGCTTGTGTAAATACTATTTTCAAAATTTTAAAAGTATTCGATTCTTGATTTGACAGCAATTATATGTTATTGCCTTTTGAGCAAACAAGCCATGGCTTACCCGATTAAGTGGTTACTGGAACCCATATATATCACAATATAAATGCCAGCACCTTCCTCCAAACCTGAGGTAAAAGCCTCCACAATATAAAGGCTGTCCCAATCAAATCATGAGGCAAGACTACACGGTAGAAGCAGCTGTGGGTGGCAGCATGGGGTCCTTGCCCATGCAGACTTATGTGACAAGTAATTACCTACGCAGTTTTATAAATTCTACGAGTTTGATAATTATTACTTACTCAAAATTAATCCTTCATCGTCAAAGTTAGTCATGATTATAAACTGAATAAGTTTTCAATTAGGAAAATTGGTACCTACCTTTTTTTTTATTGCTCAGGTTTGTGGATTCACGGCAGATATAAGCAGTACCTAACTACTTCTCGCTCTTTCGATCGTATTCATAAAAAGCTTATTTGCCTACTTAAATTCTATTTTTATTTATAAAGACTGGTATCACCGTCCGACATGTTCCTAACTCGAAGTCCTTTAAAGAAGGATGCTACAATTTTTGTTGTGTGACAGTTGTTCATCTGTGAACGAACATATAGAGCGAGGTTGGGAAGCGACGTGGAGTTTTAGCGGCAGGGCGGCGACGACACGAGCGGCCAGCGCTGCCGTGTGGGCCAGCTGGGCCTGCGCCACCGCCTTACTGTTCGCACGCTGCCTAGCCGCTCCCGATTTTCAAGTCAAGAAAACCAGCGTGTACCTTAAAAGGGATCCACAAAACGTAAGCCGTCCAGCGTACCTAATTGTATTTTTTTATACGTCACGAAATTTTAATGGTTACTAGCTGACCCGGCAGATTTCGTAGTGCCTCAATCGATAAATAAAATACCTAAGCTTTTGTATAAAATAAACTTAAAACAAACAAAAGAAATCCGTCCGACGGGGGACACATTGAAGGAAAAACAAAATTGGTATTTTTATCTAATTCTGAGCATTTTCATATTTATCTACCTTTTAAACCTTCTCTGGACTTCCACAAGTAATTCAAGACCAATTAATTCAAGACCAAAACCAATTTAGTCAAATCGGTCCAGCCGTTCTCGAGTTTTAGCGAGACTAACGAACAGCAATTCATTTATCTATTCGACGCTTGAAAGGCAAACGTGACTAAGCGACAATTTAACTGCTTTTTACATAAATGATAGGCAATAACAATATTCGATGCACAAAAAAATTTTTTTTCTAGGTCTATTAAAATAATTTCAATCCTACAGCTAGATTCGTTAAAAATGAATTTTTTTCAGGTATTTCAACTTTAAATTAGTCTACTGTAAAGTTCACGCATTGTCGCTTAGTCACGTTTGCCTTTCAAGCGTCGAATTATATAGATTATCATCGTTCTTATTTTGTGATATTGAGAATATTAATCTCTCTCTAATAACGAATCTCTCTTTAATAGAAAATCACTCCTTATTTGAGAAGAGCTTCCAGACATTCACGTTCGTCGAACAGTTCGCCGAACAAGCGCGATAACGTGTCAGCGAAATCCGAACCAACTGCCACCACTGAGCTCGTTACGGTTTCATTAGAACAGGAATCCGTACCTGCATCTCTCGTAACAACACCCCAGAGGACGTCATACAACACAGACTTAATAGAAATGACTCACAATCCCGAAGAACGAAAAGAGAAGTAAATTATTTTAATGTAAATGTAAATCGTTGATTTCAGCTTCAGACGTACATAAAATGTATAGACTGTTTTTTTGTTTATCTCCTATTATCCTACGTATATTTTATGATGAAATATACGTACAAACATAACATAACGCCATATCGTGGTCCAGTGGTAGATATCAACCTAAATTAGATCTAAGTGTCAGATTTATATTCAGTGTCGTGTTTGATTCAATTGAATTTACTTCCTATCTTATTCAATTTTATAATCAAAGAGCATCCAACGCAAAGTATATTCTTCCAAGCTTCGCACTGCGAACTATGAGTCGACAGTATTGCATATAAAAATGTTATTACGGATTTAAAAAACTGTGGCAATCTCATTGATAATTTACTGCTAAGCTTCTTTATTTGCCATTTAAATTGAAATTTTGCATATATTGTTATATCTACATGAAAAACTAAAGAAGCTTGATTAAAACTTTTTATTAAAATTGTTTTAAAATTATTTAAAACAATACGAAAGACGTATTGTTTTAAATAATTCGATTTTCTTCCATCAATTTCGTCACTAGCTTCTAGAAGACGCTCAGTCTTTCTGTGTTGTAATTGTGTTTGGACGACGCCGCCCACGGATTAAGCATGGTGATAACAAAGCATTATAGTTGCAAAATTTATGAAACACCATAAAGTAGGTGTATTTGTTATGGGGATTTTGTGATGTTGTAAGGTAACGTTGTTGCCTACCCACGCAATTTAAAACAAATCAGAGATTTAATAAAATGTAAAATTTAAAAACATGCGGTAAATAGTGTCTCATTTCTGAAGTCAAGAACGGTAAATTGTGACATGTAAATTATTAGTCTTTGATTGGTTCGTTTTGAAATAAAAAATATTAATTTTATAATAATATTAAAAATCTGTGCTCAAATCCAAATGGTCAAATTTGCGTTTCTTGTATTTTAATACAATAATTGGAGTTTTTTAAATTGGCAAAGAACATTAAATGGGCCTATAAGAGCCAGTATTAAAATTACTTTATAAGTTCAGTTTAATTTACGATTTTGTAATTTTCGCATTTATTTTTACAAATTGTTTTTCATTGTAAGATTTTCTCTATTGTGACTAATAAATAAATTTATACACATGGAATACATATTTTCCTTCCTTATTTGATTTGTAATCCTATTCACCAATTCACCTATAAACATTTCGTAGTCTAGCCGACAGGACGCCTAATGTATTCATATCGAGTGATGCGACTATTGAGTGTACTTTATATGGATGCGATTGGCAATCTACGTTAAATGCACAATCTCCACGAAGAGGCCATAATATCCTGCGATAAAAATAAAATTTGAAAAAGTTAGAGTATCTTGCCTATTTCTATCTACCGCAAAGTGAATATACGATGATCATAGAGAAATTTCTATCTCTCCATTATGATGTGTTTGACCATTCACCATTTTTCTATTTTAATAAAAGTGAAAATTATACTTTCTTACAGACGATAACACCGAATGAGGTTGATCTTTTGGCCTATAAAAAGGTTAAGTCAATTCTAAAATTTTCTTGTCAAGTGCACTTTTTGGCGGGAACGTGGGGCGAAGTTGTATATACAAATTGTTTTATTTTGTCAATTTAGTGTTTCTTTAGATCTAAATGTTTTATAATGGCGGCTTACTCACTTTTAAATATCTATGAAAGTGCACAAATGTGGGAAAATGAACCAATGTCTCAGGATGAAGCTTCTCAGGATTTACTAAAAAGTCCACTGACAAAATCTCAGTAAATGACCACTATTTTACTAAGACTTAGAGTCCATATCATCTTGATTTGTTTAATTTTGTTCTAATTGATTAATGGCTAAAATTAGCCAACTTCATTTTATTTCACTGTATTTAATTTATTTTAAAACACAATATAAACAAAAGATTAGGCTGTAAACTGTGATACCTTCGTCTTTCCAGTTGGAAAAATTGTACCACTACTACTGTTAAGCTTATTATCTATGCTGTCAAGTGGACTTTTTAGCGGGAACGCGAAGAGTGAAGTTGTGTAATTTGTTTTATTTTGTCTACTTAGTGTATCTTCAGGTTTAATGTGTAATAACGGTCGTTTATTAACTGTTTAGTATATGTGAAAGTGCACAAATGTTGCAAAATGAAACAAAGCCGCTGAACGTAACTTCTCGGAATCCTCCATAAAATTCACTGAAAAGTTTCAGTAAATGACCACCATTTTGCTGAGATTATATCTCACCCCATATCATCTCATTTCATTTCATTTCATGTCATATCATGTTTCATATTAATCAACCTCATTTCATTTCATAATATCATTTTTCACATAAATTTTTTGTTTAAAATGGCTTGACCTAAAAGTCTTAGTTACCAGGTCATAATCCCATAAAAAAATGTGTCAAATAAATTATGAATTTGTTGTAAAATTTAATTCATAAAAATTTGATTTTGTCGGAAATAGTCAAAGCATTGCAAAATCAGGAACCCATTTCAAATGACTAAATGACTTCATGGTGTGTTTAGATAAAATTTCCAACCGAAATGTTACATCAGGTAAAGAAGTTTTTATTTACTAAATCGTTACAGAAGCAATTCTCGCGATACTCACACGTCGAAAATCCTATTCTTTACCCATTAGAAAGTCGAAAGTTATTAAATATCGCTGGAAAAGATGCTGGTGTATACCTACAAGGTCTTATTACTAATGACATGAGACATTTTGAGGAAGGTGCGTCGTCGATTTATGCTATGTTTTTAAATACCAAGGGCAGGGTACTCTACGATGTTTTGATTCATAAATGGAATACTGACGATTCGTTCCTTCTAGAATGTGATAAAAATGTTATTAGTCACATACAGAAACATTTAAAAATGTACAAATTAAAGAGACTAGTGGAAATAACTGATTTGAGCAACGAGTACAAAATACATGCTTTAGTACCAAATTTGAATATTGGTGTAGTTACTCCAACACACAATGTTAATATATATAAAGACCCTAGATTGCCTGAACTTGGGATGAGGATTATATCACCAATGTCAATAACACATTCTGAATTAATAAAAATTCCCACAAAAGATATTCAAATTAAGAATAGTGAAGAGGGATACAAGTGTCTCAGGTATAAATTGGGTGTAAGTGAAGGATCTGAAGATTTACCGCCTGGAGTAACCTTTCCTTTGGAAGTGAACTGTGACTATCTTCATGGTGTTAGCTTCCACAAGGGTTGTTATATTGGACAAGAACTGACAGCACGAGTTCATCATACAGGAGTTGTAAGGAAAAGAATAATGCCAATTAAGTTTACACAGGCAGTGGATAGCTTAGATAAAGATTCTACAATAAATGCTAGTGAGAATCCTAAATCAACTATAGGAAAATTAAAAGGTTACATACAAAATTATGGACTGGGTCTAATTAGGGTAAAGGAAGCTTTAGAAGCAAAATCATTAGTAATTGGAAGTTACACTGCAGAAGTATTAAAACCTACTTGGTGGCCTATGGAAGCACCAAAAGACAAAGCAACTGTTGTAAAGGCTGAATAATGAGTAATCACAATTTAAATGCAACTCTACAAGTTATTTCTAATAGTTATATAGATAATTTTAATGTGCATAATATTTTCCAGTAACAATGACAGACCAGAAAGAAAAACCCACAGAAGAATCGGTACAAGTCCTTCATGAATTCAAATGTTCATCATGCAATATAAATGAAAAAGCCCATTACAAAGGCACTAATCCTCCATTCTCCCGTAATATTGTCTTAAAATATCCAAGTTATGTAATGAAGGATCCATTCAGTCCTCCGGGTAAAGGTGAAATATTAGTGCTTGGAGCAGATTGTAATATCTGTGAAAAATCTGTGTGCATAAGTAAAAACTGTAGTATTTTTTACCACAAAACATATTGTTTGGATTGTGCATATCAAAACGTTGATAGCTTTCCTATTGAAATTAAGAATAAAGTGCAATGCCAAAGAGGAAATTATGATTTTGTTTTATTTTCACACAAAGAACCATTGGCTTATTTTTTATTTACTAGACAGGTAACAGGAATCATGACCTGCTTAGATGGTAATTTCTGTGGTTAAGTGATTAACATAATTCATAAAATCACCTTTTGTATGCATTTATGCTCCCTGAGACATGAGTACATTTAAAATGTACAATATAATGGCTGTACCACCCCTTCATCTGAAATGCTTGATTGCTTTGTCACAGAAAAGGTAAGTTGTGTAAGGTGGTGCCTACTGAGGTTTATACCTACCACAGTTACTATTTTTTTCCAAGTCGATCGAATTTTACTCCCAATGCATTCTAATGTTCCTGACAAAATAAAAGGTTTATCACAGTTGATGCTGTGCAAATTCAATTTTGAACTATCAAACATTAAATAAAACAATGGCTACAAAATACTGTTTACTTTGGCTTTCCAATCCGATTTACAGTATTTTCTTAATTTTTCCACAAATCATAAGTAACAGTTACATAACTGAGACAATCTGTTTCACTACATAAATTTAATTATGATACAGAAGTTTAAAAACGAAAGGGGAGCAGTGCACGCCCACCGTCCCTCACCATCGCGCCATGCTGCAGTACATACAACGAATTTAGAAAATAAAGATAATTATAGCATAGTTATATTAAAATGTAGGTATATATTAATAAGCTCTAAATTAGGACAAAATTAAATATAGATTTTGTCTTATATCATCAGTCACTCCATTCAGATTGATAGCACCACAATACATTCATTACTTTCACAACTTGTACAGTGACTGCTTCATCTCGTAACAAACGCCTACCGGTACAATATAAAATAGATTCAGATGTTCACCAATATTAATTATATGCAAATGAATATAAAACATGAGACTTCTAAAACTGCTTTAAGTAATTCGTTTTCTTTTCTCTGTTATTACTTTTTCGTTTAGTTGGTGCACGAATGTTTATTGGTAGCTATATGGGGATAATCATATTTTCATATAAATGTTCAAGAAACATTACACAATTAATCTACTGAATGACAAACAAACAACGCTTAAAAGTACTACAGGTATATTTGCGAATGCAAAACCAAATATTAGTTTTTTGCATTGTGTTACTATAAAGATATAAAATGGACACGTTTTTGCATTCTATGATAGTCAATATATACATTATTTCACTAAATTTCTATACATGAATTCTTGATCATAAATTCAAAAATTTGAGAAAAGTGGATGCTACTATTTGAGTAGTGCATTGATTGCTTACTAACCAAAGATTTCAAAACGAATTTGAAACAATAACCATAAGCTTCAATAAAGATTCGACGTACAATATAATATGTACTGGCCAAATTGATCCAGACAAAAAAAAACAAGTACACGCCTTGGACGGGAGAGACTCAATTATAACACTTACGATATGATCTACTAGTCAGACTTACATAAACAGGGTTGGTTCGAAGGGTTTCATTTGTAATTTTTGACCCAAATTTTCACAAACTGAAATTACAACTTTCACAGCCTAAACGAATTTTTCATTTCTCTCTAAAGATTATACATAACTGCTTACCAATTTCACTAAATTCATAACATTATAAAACCTATAGTCATTTAATATTATGAGGGACAGTCTTTCACAACACAATAAAGCAAATCAGTAATTTAGAAATGCAAAAAAAAAACTAAATAAAAAATCATTGTCCTTAAAATAGTTTTTGGTGTCAAATTAACAGCATAAATTGCAGGGTTTCAAATTTATTTATTTTTATTCTAGTCATTTCAATTCGAGCAGAAAAAATGCGTGATGTGTTGAAACCCCGCAAATTAGGTATTAAATGGACCCCATAGAATTTAAAAAGTGCGGTGGTAGTTGTAAAAGCTACACAGTGTACAAATGATCAGAATTGATTAAGATTTGTCATTTAATACTTCCACAACATAATCCGAAGTATTGTACAAGAATCTTAATTAAACATGTTTTTTGAAACTTGAATACTTATTAAATTTTAAATCTAATTAATATGCTGCCAAAACAAATATGTCAATACACTAAATAATCTTCTGTATACATAAGAATACAGAACTGAAACAACAGAACATTCAATAGTATATGCTTCATTTATCTAAACAGTTCACATACGAGATATTGGATGTCAAATAAATTTTCGTTATTTAAAAATTTATTTCATCACTATGTATATAAGGAAATCTAATTTACTTATTTAGCATATATGCCGCGAGGCAGTTACCAAAGGATAGTCGAAAAGGACCAACAGAAATAAATAATAAAATACAAAAACACTGTGACTCTTACCCAGGTGCTACTAACAGTTATTAAAAGGGAGGTTTCATTTAAATTTGTAATGTAAAATTTGATATTTTTGAACTTTTTATTTAATTTGATTTTCTATGCAATCTAAGATCAATCTTAGATAAGTAAGTACTTTTAAAATACAGTTCAAACATACAATATTTATATTCGTGCACAAGACACAAAATCAAGATCCATTTATTTAGTTTTTAACATTAACCAACACTTCCAAACGTTTATTAAAATGAGTTTTGAGCTAATTTTGTTATGTAATTTTATATCAACATAGTTTTTTACCTAGCAACACCAAAATTAACATCAAATCGACTTCAAACATCTTAAATAAATAAAATTTAATCTTATCTAATTTCAGTATTCTGAAACCATTTTTCCTTTGTATCACACATTGAACAGAATATATTATACGTAAATTAGAGTTTGATTAGAAATAAGTTACTGCACAACGCACAAAGCTAATTAATACAAGAAGAATATTATATTTGCATGACGATCAGTAATCCAAAAGTTTTTCGGTCTCTAAAGAGCATTCCATAAATCAATTTTTTTTATCACATCACTATTTAATTATGTCATTTCCGATTGAATTTAAAACAAAATCACGAACTCGATAACGAAGTTCAATATCACAATCGACATCTATGACTCCGTAGGGCGATCACTTTGCCAGTTTAATGTACACGTCACGGAACCGAAGACGGATAGGGCGCCCGCACTCGCCTCGCACAGACCTTCTGACGGCGCCCGGATCGATTTTCACCGAACGTGAAGAGGATCGATTTCGCGATACAGTCGAACGGTACCCTATCCTTCCCCCAGCATGTGGTGCAGCATGTCGACGAGCGTGTTGAGGGCGAGCGCGAGCTGGGCGCGGTAGTGCGAGGGGCGGGGCGGGCCGGTCGGCGTCGCGGGCTCGTCGTCGGGATCGTCCTCGGGATCGAAGCCCGCCTCCTCCGCGTCCTCTGCGTCGCTGCCCTCCGGCGTGTGGCACGCGACCGTCTCGGGCGGACACTCCCTGCTCGTTTCTGGTTCCGATTCTTCCTCCTCTGTAGATCGCAAAATGTTTTTACATTACATCTCAACAATCATTGGAAACTGTCATTTATATACGAATATAGTTAGTTAGGTTGAACTCAATAGCTTTAGTACAACAGCTGTGTATACTATAAAGATATACTTATCGAATTGTGTAGAAGCAAGTTACACATTTGCACGGGCCAGCAGTATGTGCCACCAGGAGAACCCCATATAGAAACTAAGATGGTTTAGAAATTAAATAGTTGTATAGAGAAATAGATGGGATTGAAGATACGATAATTTGGAAGTAATAGCTGAAGGAGAACGGAATTGCATTACCGACAATCCGATAGTTTATTATTTATCAAGATTTATTTGACTTAAATTAAACCAAAACTGGGCTTTATTGAAACGATTGAAGTAATGTTAATGAACAGCTGTCGATTGTTTTTCAAGATCATGAACAGTTTTTTTTATTGCTTATGTGGGTGGACGAGCTTACAGCCTACCTGGTTTTAAGTGGTTACTGGAGCCCATAGACATCTATAACGTAAATGCGCCACCCACCTTGAGATATAAGTTCTTAGGTTTCGTTTCAAGTATAGTTACAACGGCTGCCCCACCCTTCAAACCGAACCGCATTATACTGCTTCACGACAGAAATAGGCAGGGTGGTGGTACCTACCCGCGCGGACTCACAAGAGGTCCTGCTACCAGTTAAGATGTGGAGGAGCATTGAGGCGTGTCGGTGGGGGTACGTACCGGGCGGCGGGGCGTGCTGCAGCCGCTGCTGGGCGAGCAGCGCGGCGCGCAGCATGTGTCGCGCGGCGGGCGGGGCGGGGCGAGCGCGCGGCACGAGCAGCACGAGCGCGCGCACGCAGCCCAGCACGCCGCCCGAGCACGCGTCCGACCCGCGCAGCTCCTCCGCCAGCGACTCCGCGACGCCGATGCATCCCGGGTCGCGGGCCTGCGTACACGACTTGCTTTCATACGTTTTCTTTTTATTTAACTATAAATCTTAACGCTTATTTGTACTAGGATTCTTAAATATATATAATTATAATTAACTAGCTATTGTCCGCGACTTCGTCCGCGTGGAATATAGTTCACAAATAATGCTTTACTTAAAAACGAATTTGGTTAGCATTAAAAACGTTATAGTGAGCCAACCTTAACATATAGACATATGCTGTCGCGGACTTTTTTTTAGATCTTTTAAAGGGGAACAATTCTGTCATACATTATTTTAGCGAAGCTTTAACCGTTTCTACAGCGGAAGCTTTCAAAAGGGAAAAAAACCCGATTTTGAAACACTCTTTATTGGTGTTCCGTTTGTATTGGTCTTAGCGTGATGTTATATAGCACATAGCCTTCCTGAATAAATGGGCTATCTAACACTCAAATAATTTTTCAAATCGGACCAGCAGTTCCTGAGATTAGCGCGTTCAAACAAACAAGCTCTTCAGCTTTATAATATTAGTATAGATAAAAAAAAAATACAACTTCTAAACCTTCTAAACTTAAATTACTATATTCCAGTGACGCTTCTCTTCTACGAAAAAAAAACCAACACCCTTCAGAAACTAAATGAAGTGAATTCGCTCGAAATTGAATAAACACAATAAGAGAATTATTTAGTAATCTTAAGACGTTGAATTATTTAAAATGATTGTAATGTTCCACTGTACATGTGGGTGACTCACATGTATTTATTTATTTTATAATATTTTATTATAATTACACTACACAACAACACATACATACTTTATTTTATTTCAACACATTCATTTATCACACAATCATACAAAACATTATTTACACTAAACAAAATTAATTCACAAGCAAAGTCGGGCGATAACTGCAGTATAGCGGCGGCGATAATATTTCGCTAGTACATCGGTGCATAGACGAACCGGTCGTCGCATTTTTATCGATCCACCGCCACCAGTCGAAATCTGACTTGCGAGCGCGCATCCCGTGTTATTCATTTCGTACTACGCCTTTTTAATTATTGCTTTTTGTTTCGTGTACCTGCTTGTGTTGCTTGGACTATCTATTTCTTGTTTACTTTCTCCTTCTTTCTATATTTTGTGTTCGTCTTAAATAAAAACTTTCTTTGTGTCCATTTGTGTTTGCAAAGACATTTATATTACAACCCAAGACGACTAAAGTACTCAACCTGACTCACCTTAGGCAGGTACAGTTGCATGAACTCGTAAATAACGATGTCTTCTAAAGACTCCCGCTCGTCGAGTATTATCGCGTCAATGTATTCATTCAACACGCTGCACTCCAATAACATCTCTTCTAACTTCGCATCGGCCTGAAAATACGAGCTCAAAAATTTACTTATATCTTACTGAACAAGGACGTGAACAATTTTGAAGTCGTCGTGGTCTTGAGGATAAGAATCCAGATTTTTATTTTAGGATAGCAAGATAGCTGGTAATGCAGAGGCCAGCTTTGCCAGGATAGGAGAGCCAGCAGGGCCGAACCAGGAGAAGTAGAATTTCCTAACAGCTACCCAAGCGCAGGATTTAGCAGCTACTTTACGAATGAATTTACGGTTTTTCTCCATTAGCGAGTGCAAAAGAAAAATCGCTAAATAATGTACTAACTTAATCGCAAATGGTAAACGGAAAAGTACCGAATCTACTACCGCATTGAAATCACGAAGCACTGAGAAGATTCGGCGAGCAACTCAGTGTACAATACATCTGATTTACTCGCGTCTGACGATATAACTATTGCGGTGTTCGAATCTCTTAGATAGATTTTTATTTTTTTATTTATAATGTTTTTTTTTCCCCGGGATGAAAAGTTCGCTTTTAGTCCCTGGCACGCGGGACAAAAGTAACCGATTCTCTCCCGATGAGACTGCATACGCACCGAGTGTCAATCCGCGATTCGCGGGCGTGAATGTCGTACTTTTCTCCCTCGGTGTGTAATATACTATTATACATTTTTATGTTTCTTTTTTCTTATAAAATACTTCCTACTTACTATTCACGAACAACTAACGCGATGATGAAATAATATCGTGTAATTAAATTGGGGGATTCGAACACCGTGGTATCACTTGATACAAATGCACCGGGGGTCTTATAGTTTAAGCCACGACGGCTTCAAATATATTAGTGGTGGAGCACGTCCGATAGTTTTGTCCCGATGTGTACATGTGTATATATACCGGCGTGGAGGCGACGTCTCTCCAGAACGCAGCGAAGTAGTTGAACCGGAGCGGCACAGCCTCCAGCGCGCACAGCGCCGACAGCAGCACCAGTTGCTCCGACATGCAGCGCTGGCTCCGAGCCACGCGGCAGCACGTGTCTGCGAAAACGATACCTTCATTTATTCTACCTCAATAGTTGTGTATTTTTTTATTTTTTTTATTTATATGAAGCATAAATAATGATTAGGTAAACGACTGTCTTTTTATTTTTTATTGCTTAAATGTGTGAACAAGCTCACAGCCCACTTGGTGTTAAGTGGTTACTGGAGCCCATAGACATCTACAACGCAAATGCGCCACCCACCTCGAGATATAAGTTCTAAGGTCTCAGTATAGTTACGGTTACTGTCTGTGGCAAAGGGTTGCGTAAATAAATATGTAATAAGAATTATTCTTTTTTTCTGTCATTTATATCTAATTACTATATTTTAATGAAGACGTATCGAACATCAAATCTATTGATTTTTATGTATCCGACGATGGTCCGCTAAAATTGGTTATAGCAGTAAGACAGCAAATTTTATTTTTGATTTTGTTTTTACGTTTTCACCTTATTAACAGTGAAAGTTATTTATAGTACAGTGGTAGAGTACATACCGATGAACTTGTGGTAGGGTCTGTAGGCGGCGGCGTGAGGGTGCGGCTGGTGCGAGTGTCTGTGTCGGGGAGGCGGCGCGGTGCGAGCGGCGCAGTGAGCCCCGGCCGCCAGCGGGACCAGCGCCCCCAGCGCCGCAGCACCTCCCATCACCACTAGCTCCTTCAGTACTCCTGTGTGACCATTCGATAAAATTTATTACGTAAACGCAAAAACTAGACGATATGTAGGTACATTTAAAATTGAAATTCATTGTCATCTGAAAACCATTGATTCGTTGTCCAAAACAATTAACAGTATCGAATTCATTTATTTTTTGTTCGTTTTTACATATGTGATTTTGTAATTTATAATTTTATCACACGTAAGTCTCAAATTAAAGTGTAGGAGTACAATTAACGAATGTTCTCGAAATCATTTTTCAGTATTTTATCACTTCTATAATGTACTAGCTGTACCCGTCCGCTTCGCTGGGCATTTAAAATTAACATTATTATTTCTCACCCCCACGAAGATTCTCATCATTAAGTAGAGAGTCCAACACTATATATATATATATATAAATATTGCCTATCCATTAAATACATGGATACCAAGTTTCAAGTCAATCGGATGTATGGTTCAGTAGTTATAACGGAACATCCGTAAAAACCACTGTAGATTTATATACTAGTATAGATTACAATTTATAAACAATAAGTATATTATTATGATTTTGGGGTGATCACCTAGCGCGGCTTCCCGAAGATGATCGAACCGATGGTGCAAGTTGAGCATGGTGAGCAGACGCCGCGCGCACTCGGGCCAGTCCTTGCAGGCGAGCAGCAGGGCGCGCGCCTCCTTGGCGTCGCGGCGCGTGCGCAGCGTGCGGCACAGCGAGCGCGCCCAGCGCAGCGCCGCGCCCAGCTCCGCACGCACCGCGCCGCCCGCGCCCGCCGCCGCCCCCGACCCGCCCGCGCCGCCGCCCTCCACGTACACGGCGTGCAGACTGTGCAGGGCCTGTACCACACAAAACGACTCGTAGGTTAAAAAGTTCACATGCACACGCAACAAATTAATAATCCCTTAATGATAAATAGAACGATAAGAGACAGCCTGTTTACAACAAAAAAGTTAACACTTTAAAATGTCGCACCCAAATGTAAATTAAAATTGTTTTATTATAAAATATTAATTATTACATTTCAGTTCCACAACTGCAGTTACCAGACGGTTCTTCACAATGAATACATAAATAATTAACTCACCTCAAAGGTCATTTGTAATCCTCCATTGTAGACTACGTATAATCTGTCGTCTTCGTTTTCAACTAAGGTACAGAACGCCGATATTAACGTCGTCCAACACGTCCTCCCGTTCAAACCTATAAATAACCATCAAGCACTGAATATTGCTTCGCTTTCTATATGATGCACTAAATTACCAGTGAAAACTAAATCAACACCTAGCACTCCATGATGATATTTAATACAGATAAATTAAAAAGTTTCATCGCGATATAAATGTACAAAATACTCACCCTGTAGATAGGCAGCGAGCGTGCTTCGTCTGAAAGCGGCCGCTTCCCTGCCGTCAGGGGTCTCGCTGCCGCTGTTGTTTTCGCTGCCGTTGCCGCTGCTGTTACTGCTGTTGCTGTTCGTTGTCGTGATGGTGCTGCCGTTACTGGTGACCGTGCCGGTGACGTTGGTAACCATAGTGCCGGTGACGTTGGCGACCATGGTCCCGGCGACGTTCGCCACCATGGTCCCCGCAATGTTGCCGCCGCGCGCCGCCAGTATCCGTGCTAATCTGTTGTATGATGATATGTATTATTACGTATTTTGAAGTTAAACTTCTTTAGGCGCTTTGAGTTTTTTTTTTTTTATTGCCTTTGTAGGCAGACGAGCATACGGCCCACCTGATGGTGAGTGGTTACCGTCGCCCATGGACTTCAGCAATGCCAAGGGCAGAGCCAAGCCGCTGCCTACCGCAAAATTTAACTCGCGACAGATGAATTATTATAGCCGTAATCGCATCTTTATATATCGCATCAAAATAGACAAAGCGTCTCTCGAACCACTCGACCATTGAGAGAGGGAAAGGACAAAGCGAGATAGGTCGTTTCTCATATACACAGCATTCCCTATTACAAGAGTAAATTGATTTAAGGATAAAAAACGAAGAAAACCACAATTACTACTACACACCACAAAAGAAGTTTCACTTCTTTCACGTGAACCGAGTGGCATGCGTACCAAATTCTTCATTATTATTACTTTTTAACACTTTTTCCTTTGAAATATAACTCTTGATAAGAAGTTAATCATGACACTTATTCCATACCGTCCAGTTTAAGGTATTATTATTCACTTGATAACGATTTGAAATAAAAATAAATAATTGTTTAAAAAGACTAAAAACACGCTTTATATAAAATTCAACTAAAAAATAGAAAATAAATTTTAATAAATTTAAATTGAAAATAGTGTAAAAAATATATTTTATTTTTTAATTTTTATTAGTTTTTTTAAACTATTATTTATTTCTTCATTTTGTAGTTAAATTTTCTATAAAAGCGTATTTTTAAAACTATTAAGTACTTTGACATCAATTCCTGCCTTATCGACTATAGATAAAAATGATATAAATTGGCAAAAACATTATTTTGCAAATTGAATAATGGAATAATCTTATCAAATTAGTGTATTGTCATCGATCCTCGATAAATCTAAAAAGTTTGAATGAAATCTGGCCGTTTAAAGTGGGTCAAAATCGCGTCTAAAGGACTAAGTTACAAACACAAATACAAGTGAAGCTAATATAAAGCGTGTAAAAAACACGAGGATGACAGATTTATTTGTTACATGTGTACCTGAGCAGTTCGTCGGCCGCCCCGGGATATAAATGAGCGTGAGGCGCTATATTCCTGAAGGCCCAGTGCACGTTTTGATGCTGCGCCAGCATGCGCGCGAACGACGCTGACCGGCGACAGCACAGCCGCAGCAGCGCGTAGTACGGCGGCAGCATGGCGCGGTTGTACGCCACCACTTCACCGTCCTCATGGTCCGCACTGAACATAACCAGTGATGGATTTACACTAGGGGCAATCGGGGCAAGTGCCCAGGGTGGCAAAATTTTGAAAGGAAAAATTGTTTTTTTTTTTGGTCTTATCAAGATTGCTCAATATAATTAATATTAATTAATTCTATTAATTAATAATTTTCTGTTTAATTGATAATTCAACAGATTCAATTCATCCATTATTTCTGAATTATAATTCTGGCACTTTTGGTAAAAATTAATAAATAAAATATTTAATCAATTTATTTCCTTGGAGATTTAAAATAATAATCGATTTTTCTATTTTCTGTAGAAAAGAAGTTAAAGTAGTAGTTAAAGAAATTTAATTAGTTTTAAAGAGAAATTTTAGAAAGACACTTGAAACGTCACCCTTTGCCACGATAACCGTAAAGTATTCGAAACATGACAATAATAAAGGCGAGATTTGCTTTTTAATTAATTTAAAAATGTTTTTTTTTTTATTAAATTTATCACGCAGTCTGTAGTACTCACAGTATATAATTGAAGGCGATGTGTTTGATGACCCTCGGGTTAGAGACCGCCAGCTGTACGTTCTCGGGGCAGTCCACGGAGACGGCGTGCCAGAACGTTATCAGCGCTTGCTTGTTGTGGTGCACTGCTACCGACGGCTCCGATAACCCAGGATGGTACAGATCCCAGAGATCGTTAAAGTACTGACCGAACTGAAACATGTTGTTACGCCGGTAAGAGTAACGTCATCGATCGCCGAATAGGCGAAACGAATACCAAAGGATCTAGTAACATCTAGAACGCTCGAGAAGTACAACGCCATCTATTGTCAGATAGCGGAAGCACGAATCAAAAGTGCTCGACTCGTGAGGAATGTATAATTTTTGGTCCTGTTACCAAAACAGATGCTTGGCGCAAATAAAATTCTAAAAACTTTTAGAAATAAGACATTTATGAGCATTTTAATTTCATGTAAGCCAGAGAGCACACTATGAATTCTGGACTCGAATCTTGCATGTATAAAAAATACATACTATATTACATTAACATTCATTTTGCGAGAAAAAGATAGAGCATCCCCTCTTAGTTTGCATAAAAAAAAATCTTAATTACAACTTACCATTAATTTTTCCACTCTGCTAACGACGCAGTACGACATGACGCCGAAATAGGCTGTCAGCTTCATAGTTCCATGAACGGCAATGTCGATGTATTTACGAGCGGCTTTCAATTTTCCAAGCAACATACTGTACACCTGAAAAGGTTTTACTTCATAGTACCTCTAACCTCTATAGTTCATAGCAACGACCACAGAACATATAGTCATCAATTCAAACAGTTTCCAAAACATGTCAACTGTCAAAGTATTTTTTTCCAAAAATATGTTTTAAAGCTGCTTCATAACAATGAGTGAATGTGAACAGATTTTAGCGTAAAATTCATCTTTTCCTGTTTTAATGAAACACTTTGTAACAACGTCAACTTTAATCAGGTGATAATTATGGTTGCGACTAAGCGTATAAATGTCGGGTACCTGGTGCAGCGTGTGGTGCGCAGTATCGGGCAGCTTGGTGTGCATCGTCGCGGCGGGTGGAGGTCGCGCCCGTGCGTACCCCGCGCGGAAGTGCTGCGAGGGGACCAGCGCCACCAGCAGCAGCGCCGCGGCCGCCCGCACCCGCGCCGCGCCCGCCGCCAGCAGCTGCGGCTCCACCCAGCGCTCGGCGGTGCGCAGCGCCCACGCGTGCGCCGCCTTGTTGCGGGGCACTTGCAGCGCCAGCCACTCTAGCGCGGCGTGCGGACACACCTCGCCGCACTCCCACAGCCGCGCCAGAACCAGCTGCGTGAAGCAAGGCAGCCCGCCCGTGCCACCCGCCCCGCCGCCGCTGCCCTCCACCAGCAGCGTCAGCAGTTTGAAGAAGGGCCCACAGCTCTGCAAGGTAAATCAATTATGTCATTGGTTAAATTTGATGACTGAATACGTTCACAATCAAAAGTCGAAACAATTCTCACCTCAGAGTGCTTCGCTATTGCCTGAAAGATTGTACCGACAATCTTCTGCGCGAGCGGCTCGTTGAATCGACACAAGGCGAAAATCAAAGACCGCGTCTGTTGCAGATTGAGGCAATCCCGGGTTTGTTGATATATAAACGGAAATCCCTGCGAAAAAAAAAACAATACTGACCAATTTAACAAAAACGTAGCATTTAAAAAACGAAAGTGGCTAGCGTAAATAGAGTATTTTAATCAAAGCAATTCGCGGCACCTATACTAGAATTCCAAAATGCCGAAAACTGTACAGTTACAGTTCAGTTACGTGGACGTACATAAAACGAACAAACAAATCTACCACCCCAGAGGACACGTGCGGCTAGTCCGAGAGCCCTGGGTTACCTTGGCGTGCAGCAGCGCCTTGGCGTCGGGCTCCCGCAGGACGAGGTGTCCGCTGACGTCACGCGAGCGCTCGACGAGCCCGGTGACGAGTGCCACCATCTTGTCGAGCGCGCCGGGCCGCAGCTTGTCCCCCCCGCTCTCCGCAGCGCCGCTGCCCCCCGCCTCCTCTGTTGGCGATTCCAGCTTTGGAAAATAAAATGCATTCTAAATTAATTTAACGGCCGCCTGGTGTAGTGGTAAGTCACATGGTCACTACACAAGGAGATCGCGAGTTCGAATCTCGCCAAGGGAAGATATTTGTATGATAAATATAAAAGTTCTTTTTCAGGGTTATTATGGATGTATATTAAATATATGTATGTGTATCAAATCAAATCAAATCAAATGAAAAATCTTATATTTCTTTTCGTTATTTGGTACATAAAACACAAGTTCTTTACGAATTTAGCACGGGACCAGTTAACGTGACGTGATTGTTAGTAAATATTTATTATTTATTTAGTAAATATAACAAATCGTTACCATGTACATTGTAAAATTCAAATGGCAAATTGAACCAACTATTCGATTTCAAAGTAAATGTTTGTAATAAATATCCAAATTAAATAGGTGCTTTTTTTAAACTTACTGAATTTCCGTTTTGGCCCAAATAGAAGTTGACCATGCTGCTGATGGCATTAATCCGCAACAGAAACTTCCCTTCCTCCTCTCCCATCTTACTGAACTCGTACAACAAACTGAAGTACTCCGTCAGATGCCGTAAATGTGCCCGAGCACCGTTCTCCATCTAATCAAATTAAATTCATAATTCGTAAAAAAATATATATACATAATAAACTTGCCTAACGACTCCTATTTATAATTCTAATGAAATTGCTATATTCTTTATATTCGCTTCAACTAATTATCGATATTCTATTACTCGAGGTATAACAATAATTTTATTTTTAATTTTTTATTGCTTAGATGGGTGGACGAGCTCACAGTCCACCTGGTGTTAAGTGGTTACTGGTGCCCATAGACATCTACAACGTAAATGCGCTACCCACCTTGAGATATAAGTTTTAAGGTCTCAGTATACTTACAACGGCTGTCCCACCCTTCAAACCGAAACGCAATACTGCTTCACAGCAGAAATAGGCGGGGTGGTGGTACCTACCCGTGTGGACTCACAAGAGGTACTACCACCATAATTACGCAAATTATAATTTTGCGGGTTTGATTTTTTATTACACGATGTTATTCCTTCACCCTGGAAGTAAATCGTGAACATTTGTCAAGTACGTATTTCATTAGAAAAATTGGTACTCGCCTGCGGGATTCGAACACCGGTGCATCGCTAGATACGAATGCAACGGACTTCTTATCCTTTAAGCCACGACGACTTCAAACTGAACTGCATAATTAATATAGGGAATCCAATAGTATTTATTATGCTCACCAAAGACAACAACATCCTTATAAACCTAGTAACACAGCTCGCCTCTCCCAGTTTACTGTCATCTTCGTCTTCAATACCCTGGAGGTACAGGGCGCAATGACTAGATCTGAAAACAAAATATAACGTATACACAATAGTTTCCGGTTTGCACGGAAGGACAGCCGTTGTCCTAATGCACTTTAGTAATTTAGAGTGTTAGGACAGCGGGCTTAAAATTATCCGATTTACTAAAAAAATTACAATCAGTAGTCTTATGTAATTTATTGCAGTATTCTAATAACGAGATATAACATTTTCAAAGAGTTTATTAAAATAAATTTAAAAAAAGAAAAACTATTACCTAAGTCTCTGTATGACATGCATACAAAGCCGTTGAAACATTTGCCGGACCATTTGATTCGGACATTTTATTAAAACCTGCAAACAAATTTACGTATATATTACATCATCCGACCGGAATCTCAATCTCACCTTATTTAAGAAATAAAATGTTATGTTTCATTTAAATGTATCTTTCTAATTTTTATTAGAAAAATAAGTAAATAAACAAAAATTTAAAATTATAGCAACTCTATATATTGTCATTTTAATTTATTATACGTACTTGCATCGGCCACCAGGTGTCGTCCGCCATGTGACCCAGGAACCATTCCGAAGCTGCCGCCGAAGCATTATATTGTTTCGTCACTAATTCCACCCACGACACCATTGTCGGCTAAAATAAAAAATTATGTAATTATTTAATTGCTCTGTGAAAAAACAAAAACAAAGTTTTTGTGCTAGATTTTAAATCTGCTCAATATGAGCAGTCTTCGTTTTAGATTAGGCTATTTCTGCTCATTGAAACATTTGTATAATGTATCTATTCAATAGTTGACACTATGTTATTTTTTGTATAATTAAATACAGAAAAACTAATAAAATTAAACTAATTTTTATATTTGAGTATTGAATATCAGTCTTTATTTATATTGTGTTTAAAATGAAATTCTTTGAAATAAAAAACAGATGAATTTAGAAAAAAAAGAGAAACAAAAAAAATCGCTCCCTGTAATCAGATTGCAATGGATATAATAATAAAAAGCTAAGGAAAGTTGACGACAGACAGGCGGTCTTAGAACTCGGGCCAAATCCCATGCAGCATGATAAGAGGACGTTCTGGGCCGACGCTACAGCATTTGGGATAAGGACAGGAAAAAGAAAGTAATTTGTTTTTGTACGTCAAGCGATTTAAATGTTCACCGACACTGAATTATAACTGGTCAAGTTATTAATAGCTTTCGTTTACCTTCTCTTTAGCGTGTATAAATGTCTCAATAAAGAACGACGTTGACAATCTTGCTGCTACTTCCGTTATCTCCGGATGCAGTGTTATTAATGTTTGGGGTACCGAACTACACATCTGACCCATGAACCTGTACAAAATGAATTAACAAACATAAACAATACATTGCCTTCTATATGTTTGGAGTCAAGGTAATTTTAAATATGTCTAGTACATACTTCCAACACACGAAGTCATACTAAATTCTAATACCACTTTTTTATCACTAATTAGACTAAAGGCATTTCGTTGTAAATGTAGCTTAGCTCACCTGGTAGCTACTTGCCACTAGGTGAGATAAGCTTGGCCCTCAATGGCCATAAACTCCTCCTCAAGTCAAAATTTTAAGATCTATATATGTTAACAATACAGGCACGTTGTATACTCGAAAACTCATCGTGCAGCAGTTTCTAAAATACAACAACACAACCTTCCAGACGTCACCTGCATAATTTCCAGTACTATTTTTTTAAAACGGTTGTGACGTATGAAAATAAAGAAATTGTACAGGATGCTATACAATTTTAGTATTTTTTTGATTTTAAATTTTAAGACTGTTTATAATAAATGAATACATACGTAAAATAAGCGTGCTGAAATATGTTCTTATCGTGCAGGAACTGCATGTTGTCGTCCCATATCCATTTGAGCAGATCGGGGGGTAGTTTGATGGTGGGCGCTTCACCGCTTCTTCGTTCCACCGAAGCACACGGACTCAACTCCTCGGCCGTCGAGGACTGTGCGACAAACGACAGGGATGTGATTAGAAGCACGTCTATTATGTCGATATTTAATGGACAAAAAATATCATAATTCTGTTACTACAAAAATGAAGTGTGTGTAAATTGCATCGATTGGACATTTACAAAATGTTTTGTTCATCATAGACTCAAAATTCTATAAGTAAATGCCAGTGTAATGTGATTACTTATGAATTAATTATATATTTCAATATAAAAATGTTGTGGTGCTTAGATCCTAACTTACTTTTAAATAACACAAATCAGTTTCTGATTACAAAAAGTTATAGTTTCGTGCTCCTAATAACGTAAATGCGAAAATTTGTGAGACTGGTCGGTTCACGCTAAGCTGCTGAACGGATTTGAATTAAGCCTCTCAAATTAATGCGTTAAACATCAAAATAGGACATAGACGACCAATTCAATATGTCGATGTCATATAGTAAGCCATAGTCGCAGCTGAGGGAGACCGAGTGTAGGTAACGTTTTATGTTTTACCTGTGCCTCTTCCTGTTGTCCACAATCGGAGCCGCGCTGTGCTTTGGGAGGACTCCACTCGTAGAACAGCATGTACGCGCTGTTTGTCTTCTCGAAGGAGAAGTCCATGAACTTGTCCGTAACCGAGTCATATGTTTTACTCTGTCGAGAGAATATACTTTTTGAGAAGTTACTTCTGATCGAGACTTCTAATTAAATCGAGGGTAAGGTCTACCTGTTTGTTGACTGTTTGCTAGTGGATATGGGCAATGTTCAACGCTCAGTCGTTACGGTTAAACTTTTTTCTTTTTCAAATTATTTGACTTATAGACAATTTTACTTTTTAAAGTTTTTTTATTTATAGCTTAGATTAGTGGACGGACTCACAGCCCACCTGGTGCTAAGTGGTTATTGGAGCCTATAGACATCTACGATGTAAATGCGCCACCAACCTTGAGATATAAGTTCTGAGGTCTCAAGTATAGTTACAACGGCAGCCCCATCCTTCAAACCGAAGCGCATTACTGCTTCACGGCAGAAAAGAAGTTCTTTATAGACCACTTTACGTTTAAAACCGATGGGCTAATTCATTGCTGTGACTGCTACTTTTTTTTACTAAATCTAGCCTCATAAGTGCAGTCTCTCGGCCGGTTGAAGGGGCATCGTTAACAAAATCACCGTCATCTCTCCTCCGAAGCACTCGGCCGCGATGTGCGCCGGGTCGAAGGGCTTGACCTCGGCGTCGTTGAAGAGCAGCCAGCGGTCGTGGTGCTCGTGCTCCCGGTCGCGGATGAAGGAATAGTAGTGGCCGCCGTCCGCCGTGCCCGTGTGTACGGTCACGCCTATCAGCTCGTACCTGCAGAGAGTATATATCTTTACATAACACACATAGCACGCAACGAATGGACGTTTTGTACTTTTTATTTTATTTATTTGGCAAATTAATATTTCTAAACTATTCCATATTAAGAAGTTTTGATACGGTAGTGCGAAATTTTAAAAAGCAAATCTTGTTTATCGTTATACAAACACATTTCGTATAGAAAACACTACAAAATAATTATTCATGGCAGATGTCGTAAATAAGTAGTGCGATTTTTTTTCTGTATACAATATAAAAATAACATATTATAATTGGTAAGTTTTTAGAGATACACTCTTTTTCACCGCTTGGAAGTAATTTTTCGATAGACCGACGTCTCAAAAATTGTTGTTCAGAACTCGTACATATGCAAGCTAATAATAAAAATATCACTAGTGATATAGGTTTTTGCTGAATAGCTTGTTCTATGATACTGTTACAAACTACACTCATATTGAAGTTTACTCATTTAACATAAATGCGAAAATATTAATGTGACATCTTACTCATAGTGCTCCTCGAATTCAGAATTATCTTCGACTTCACCATTCGGGCTGGCTTCCCCTTCTTTCCTTAACTCAGCCGATTTCCTCTTTTCTTCTGAAAATCCAAATATTGTTTTATTTTCTTAATTCAATATTATCGTCAGTACGTGACTGTTAAATTAAGTTTTCAAAGATTCGCACATCGTTACAATAAAAACGTAAAAAAAGAAAAACAAAAGATGGCAACATTTTTTTTATCATAAAAGCACTTATTTCAATATACTGACACAGGTTCAATAATTCCATTATATTTTGGTTGTCAACTCCTATGCATTATTTACAAGCCTTTGTTAACTTGATACGTATGTTTGTTTGTATGTAACAGAATTTTTTAAAGGCATTTTCAGACTTCAGTTGAAGGTTCCGATTAACTTGAAAACTTTCACACGCATTAAGGACCTTTGATGATCTGATGATTCTGGCTAGTATCAAGAGGATACAAAAAAAAAAAGACTGATAATTGATTCGTTTTGCTTAGATAAGCGATTTTTTATTTGGTTTTAAATTACTAGTTTTACTGGTGGTAGGACCTCTTGTGAGTCCGCACAGATAGGTACCACCACTTTGCCAATTTCTGCCGTGAAGCAGTAATGCGTTTCGATTTGAACGTTGGGGCAGATTGTAACTATACTGAGACCTTAGAGCTCATGCATATCTCAAGATGGGTGGCGGCATTTGCGTTGCAGATGTCTATGGGCTCCGGCAATCACTTAAGTGGGCCGTGAGCTCGTCCACCCATCAACGCAATATAAAAAATAAAATAAAAAAACATGTGCATATATAATTTGCAAGGGATTTTTTTACTGCTTAGATGCTTATTGCTTAGATGCTATCCGTTGAGCACTTGCCTTGGTATTGAGCCGGCATAAGATGTTTCTCGACGTATCCCGACATGTCGAGCCGCATCGGGAACGAGAAGTGGGTGTTCACTTTCTCTTTGAGCATCGTCAGCATGTTGAATGTGTAACGCATGGTGTTGAAACATAGTATCCGGGGTAATTTCTTGAAACATGCCCTAAATCAAATAAAATAAATAATTAGTGCTGTTTATCTTTTTCGTGATCGTACAAGTTGGTGATGCTTGATGCGCAAACTAGGTAACCTAAAGATATAAAAGATAGCTAAGCTGCTTGTTTTGTTCAAGTTGTATAGTATTGCGTTCGGTTTAAAAAACACAAACAACACCTGCACAATACAATCAACATTTCGTCTTCAAATCTTAATGTGGGCGGCGGCATTCTTGCTGATGTCTATGGAACTCCGGTGATACTTAACAACCGGTGGGTCAAAGCTCGTTTAGCGATATGTGATAAATGTGTTTTGAAATTACGCCAGATTCGACTTTATTTGTAATTTAAAATATAATATTGAAATAAAACAATATTTATGATAGTCTCATACGAGAAGTATAACTAGGTCGTGTGTTAATGAATTTGTGGATCTCATTTTTTTTTTACACATCCACATGCATACTCCTGTATTTGTCTGCTTTTAATGGAAACGTATAGCATCATTTACAATTACAATAAGAAAATTCTTAATTATTTTTTTTATTGCTTAGAGCTCAAAGCCCACCTGATATTAAGTGGTTACTGGAGCCCATAGACATCTACAACGTAAATGCGCCACCCACCTTGAGATATAAGTTCTAAGGTCTCAGTATAGTTACAACGGCTGCCCCACCCTTCAAACCGAAACGCATTGATTTTCAGTAATTGATATTAGGGATGCACTTTTGGCGTAAACACGAGGAGTGAACTTGTGCAAATCGTTTTAATTTAATATTTCTTCAGACTTAGGTCAATTTCATCTCATTTCGCTCCATATAATTTTTTCATATAATGAAATAAGTTTTTTTTTTCCACAACACTAAATAATATTATTGCCACACCAAAAAAAAAAGTTTAAGGTTACCGACCGTTTCTCGGCTCGCACTTTAGCGGAGCACTGTGAGCACGTGTAGCAGTTGTCGCCCTCCAGCGTGTCCTTCACCGTGACCTCGTCCAGACTCTGGTGCAGGTTGCGCATGTCGGCCACCTGACACCGCACCGTGTAGAACTCCTCCAGAGTGCGGGACACGTGCGGACAGTCCTATATTAATTAATACAAATTAAATCGACTGATGAGCTCAAAGTCCTGCTGGTGGTATCGTCCTCTCATAGACATAGCAGAGTGAATGCCACAGATTGTCATACATGAAGTGAAACTTTCAATTTTATGACAGTACCTATACTAACATGGCTATTCTGCCTTCAGATTAAAACACCGAAACGGTTCGCGGTAGGAATAGATGCGATGATTTGAAGCCCATGAACCTTACCCCCTAAAGAAGCGTATTTGTAGAGAAGGTAATTAATACAGAACATTGCTAATACTGATTATAGTAATTTAACGAATATAGTGGCAGTGGCTAGAGATGACAGACGTGCTGATATGCATTGATGAATAGATGGACAAATTAGTAGATTTTTACGGGTGGTACGGTTTTAAGTGGTTACTGGAGCCCATAGACATCTAAAATGTAAATGCCGCCGCCCACCTTGAGATATAAGTTCTAAGGTCTCAAGTATAGTTACAACGGCTGCCCCACCCTTCAAACCAAAACGCATGACTGCTTCACGGCAGAAATAGGCGGGGTGGTGGTACCTACCCGTGCGGACTCACACGGGGTCCTACCCACCTGTAATTTTTTTAATTAAAATTTAATTTTAATTAGAATACAAAAGCACGTACGAGTGACACGACATTGTTGCTGAGCACACCGCAGAAGAGCGTCTTGACCAGTTTCTTCAACTCGGGCGTCATCTCCTCGAGCTTAGAGACGAGGTCTATAAAGAACTCGGCCATGTCCTTCTGTTCGCCCGTGTTCAACGGCTGGTGATCCATCTGGTAGACCTTGCAGAAGCTGCGAGGGTTGTACGCTTTACGTTCACTTTCCTGTTATAAAAGATTGAATGTTATTATTTACGTCATTAATGCTTTCATTCTTACAAATGTTAGTAGATTTCTGAAGGATAATCGCACTGTCATAGGAAAATCTTTTTCTCAAATAGTATAATTTATACATATCAATATCAATATCATTACATAATGTTTTTGTTTACTTTTTAAGTATTCTATTTCATGGATTTACAGATTAAATAAACCTCGTATCATTGCTGTAAAAGTGAGGATTAAAGTAAAGTTGCGAGGCCTCAAGATAGTGTTACTATAATATTACAGCGTGCAATGGAATATAAATAAATATTTTTTGTAAAGTAATATAATGTTAAATTTGCATAATTTTTTTTCTATCTAATCTGATAGTTTTGAGAGACCATTTCAGCGTAGTCTTAACTAATAGGTGAGCTCACGGGGCTCAAACCTAATGTCGTTGCTAACACTAACCCTAGCAAGAGCGGTGCTTCGCAGAATCTACCACCGGATCGGAAACGCGACCCACTGAGAAGATCCGGCGAGAAACTCAGTGGGCTGTGTCTGTGGGTTAAGAATTTACTCGCCGAGCCCTTCGTCGTAAGCGACGGGTTCGACGAGAACGATGACTTACTTAACTTAAAAAATGAACATGGTAAAGAAGGTTTATGGTTAACCGCACGCGTGCGTGCGTGCGTGGGCGGGGCGGGCGGACTGACCATGAGGTAGGCGAACATGCGCTGCATCTCGTGCAGCGTGGGCGCGTGGCGGGAGGCGGCGGGGTCTGCGCGCAGCACGGCGGCGCGCGCTGGCGGCATCATGTACAGGTGCTGCATGCAGGACGCCATGTAGCACGTGGCGCCCAGGTTCGTCAGCCCCACGAACCCGCACTCCGAGCGCGACTCCTCCGCCGGCCAGTAGTCCCACGGGTACGACGACGACGGACCTGAACGAAACTTATCGTTCGAAACTTATCTCAATTCTCAACACCGGTTTTTTAATTATTCTTATTTACAGCTTCCATTATTAGCAATTAAAAAATTAATATACAAAATATTACGGAATTTTCGCATATTAAGCTCGTTATCTATGAAAAATTTATAATGAAATAAAAGCAATCGAAAAATGATTTTTGAAGTGAAAACTTCTTTAGAATCGTTGTGATTTCAAACCGGATGCAACGGAAAAAACGACAGGTAAGAGACACAAATACAAAAATGTGTAGGATGAAGCCAGCAAAGAATGAGACAGAAATATACATACTATTTAATACAGCGCCATCTGTGAGATTTTTTAATACTAACATGTGTGTATGAAAGCTCTTGTAGTGAATTTTAATTTAGAATTATACGTGAAATTAAAATATCAATTCACAGAGGGCGCTACCTTACAATTATTTACTAATGACAAAATTTTACATATACTTAAGACGTTTAGGATAATTGTATTTTAATTTTGGAAGGTTTCACTTCTACCACCTGTGAATTGCACACATTTTGTTTTTTTTAGTGACAGTAATATTGTACAACCCAGAACTTCTCTTCGCTGCGTTGCTACAAATATAGCATCCAAAAAGTTAAAGAACAGTTTACCAAATTGTTCACCGAACACCCTAAGCTGTCTCCTTTACTTTTGACTACAATCGTAAACGTAGATTTAGAAACTGACTCTATTAATGACTATTAATAATACAAATAGTAAATAACTAGTGTTCGTTCCATAATAGAAATTCGATCATAATCACAAACGCTTTAAGACTTAGATTTATTTATATCTTCGATTGTTGTTTTACTTCATCATTGACATTAACACTAAAATTCGTCAATAACTACTAAACAAAAGAAAATCGATTGACACACAGAAAATATAACAGTACTAGCTGTACCCGTCCACTTCACTGGGCATTTAAAATGAACATTATTATTTCTCACTCCGACAAAGACTCTCATCATTAACGCCCCCGCAACTGGTATAGGGAGTCCAACACTCATATAAATATTAGCCTATCCATTGAGTCCACCACTCATATAAATATTAGCCTATCCATTAAGTACATATATTTTCTACATGGATATCGGAACATCCGTAAAAAACACTGTAGATTTATATATTATTAGTATAGATTTAATAGCAATATTTTTTTGTCCTCTATAGATAAAATCCTTACCAGGTTTGTGGTGTTCCATCAGCTTGTGATGCAGCACCATGTAGTTGTCGGGCGCGCCCTTCACCAGCTCCACCAGGAGATCGTACGCCGCCGCCCGCGACTTCTGGGACTTACATTTCGGCAGATTCCGGTTCTCCGGGTTCGGAACGTCAAATAGAAATCCGAATATCTAAAATAAATTCGGTAGGTATAATAATTATATAATAATTCCGTAGGCAGCGGCTTGACTCTGCCCCTGGCATTGCTGAAGTCCATGGGCGACAGTAACCACTCACCATCAGGTGGGCCGTGTACTCGTCTGCCTACAAGGGCAATAAAAAAAATATATTAATAAAATTTTATATCAAAACGGAGAATAGAATTTTACATTTAAGCATCACAACTTTCCCAAGTAAATATATACTGAATTCGTTTTTTTTTATTGCTTAGATAGGTGAACGAGCTCACGGCCCACCTGTTGTTGTTAAGTGGTTGGCGAAGCCCACAGACATCCACAACACAAATACCGCCACCTACCTTGAGATTAAAAGTTCTAAGGTCTCAGTTTTTACAGTGCAACAGCTGCCCCACCCTTCAAACCGAAATGCATTACTGCTTCACGGCAGAAACTGACAGGGTGGTGGTACCCACCCGTGTTGACTCACAAGACATCCTACTTACTACCAGTAAATGTAATTCGTAGACTTCTATTACATAAATGAGACTACATAAACAATATAAAGACATTATTGTCCCATATAAAATTGCCAACTACTGTTTAAAAAATTATCAAAGTTGTCGTTATTTTTTATCTCAATTCGGATTATGATCAAGTATTAATTTTGTTATGATCAACGTGTCGATGTTGTAACAAGCCCGGTCATCGTTCTCGTCGAACCCGTCGCTTACGACGAGGGGCTCGACGAGTAAATTAACCCACAGACACAGCCCACTGAGTTTCTCGCCGGATCTTCTCAGTGGGTTGCGTTTCCGATTCGGTGGTAGATTCTACGAAGCACGGCTCCTGCTAGGGCTAGTTAAGGCGACGCTGATATAGCCTCTCAAGGCTATCAACATAGGTAGGAAAAAAAAAGTTACAATTTCGAGTACCATTTCAAGAGTCCTAGTGCCTTGTTCTGAAGTCTTGAATCTGAGTGGATGCTTCAGCAAATGCGTGAGTAGACTCAGCTGTCCGTACAGTCCGTCGTCAGGAGTACACGGCTCCGTCCGCTTCTCGATGATCTCACGTTTTTCTAAAGAAGCTCGGATCTGTTCACAGAGCTCGTTCAGATCAGGAGCCCCGCTGTCGTCTGATGTTGCCCCCTCTTTAAAAAAATAATAATTAAGTTTTTATTGACTTTTAAAATGACATCAAAATCTTAAAAGTATTTGTAAATAAATTCGGGTCACTTATGAAAGAACGACAACGCCATATAGTAAACCTCTGTGTGCTTAGTGCGAGTTTTTTAACGTTCTCGACAGCGTAAAAGTTAGCTCATATTTGTACGGAATGGGATCGTTTGCCTACGTTTGCCGTTAGGGACGCTGTTCCAACTGCATACTGCAAATTGAGTTAACTTTTACGCTATCGAGAACGTTAAAAAACTCGCACTAAGCACACAGATGACAAATTTTATTTGTAAGAAAAATAAAACAATATAGTTGATTTCTCAGTGGGGTGCCGGAATCGAGAATGTTAACTCACCTTTGAAATAGTCTTCAGGCAGCCCGTCAATGAGTCTGCAAACTAGCCAAAAATAATCCCTGCAAGCGGGGCCGTATGGCTCTTTGCCTTCTTCCGTGTGGTGATGACCCATCTACATTTAAAAATAAAAATTAAATTTAAATTTTACACACAAGCTGATAAAAAGCTGACTGAACCTATTAGTAGATGATAATGGGGGTCGGATAGCGCTGATGAGGTATATTTTGCCAAATTACCGCCTCATAATATATGTTGTGCTGACATTATTAAAAATAATTTTACGATTTAGTTTCGCGCTTGTTATTGTCATTAGCTTTCAAAGTTGCAAATACTTTACAGTTTTACTGATCACCATCGTCGAATGTAATAAAGGAAAAATACGCTTTTATAGAAAATCCAACTAAAAAATAGATAACTACTGATACCATGCACCCCACGTTTTTTTTACAATAAATTTATTTTTTCTTACACTATTTTAACTCAAATTTATTAATATTTATTTTCTATTTTTTAGTTGGATTTTCTATAAAAGCGTATTTTATTTGTTTTTTTAAACTATTATTTATTTTTCATTTTTTAGTTGAATTTCAATTTTTCATTATTTTTTTAAATATTGAATTGTCAACGGTCCTTAATAAGTATACCAATATTCGAGTTAATTCGACGTTTTGAAGGGTGTCAAAATCATGTTCAAAGATTCCGTTACAGACATAAATACGTCTGAAGCTAATAAAAGCGTATTAAAAACAGTTTTAATTATGTCCATGATTCGAGTCCTAAAGAAAATACTAACCTCAAAATACTCACATTAATAAGAGCAACTGACCTCGTGATGGTGATGGTGCGGGTGGTGGTGGTGGGGCCGCATGTCGGCGGCGCGGGGCAGCTGCAACAGCAGCAGCTGCAGCACGGGCGCCTGCACGCACGCCGCGCCCGCGCACAGCCGGTACAGCGCGCTGCCCGCCTCGCGACGGACCTGACAAAACGAATCTCGGTATTACAGCAACATTCAGTCTTACTTAATATAACTACATTTTAAAAATGTACTATATCGACGGTGAAAGGCTATTTGGTTTAAGCGACATTTTTGCAACTTTACAGGAGAGCCATATATAGATAAAAAAATTTGAAAAAATATCATGACAAAAAAAACTTGTTCGACTATTTGGATGGAGCAAATATAATTGAAGTTCAATTAAAAACACCGAATTATTGACACTAATTCTAAATAAAACGGAACTTTAATTACAAAGATAAATGTCGCGTATTAAGCAAAATATCGCCTTTCACCCCTCGATATGATTTATTTCTGTAATTATTATTTTTATTTATTTCTAAACATGTTACGACCCAATGTAATCTTACCTATTTAGTAATTAATTGGGCATCGTAACTGTAAAATTTCCTACCAACCTGAATCTAATTCTAACTTTTGTAAAAATTCCATAATGAGCTACTTAAACTGCAAGATAACGTCAATGCGCTTGTTGTATTAATGAAAGCAATTCCAAAACTTTGTACTTTGAACTCCATTCATTACAACGATAAGAGGTTTATTATTTGATATAACACTCACAGCTGGATCGGCATCATCGAGCAGTAGTCTCGGAGCAGTTTTCCTCAGAGCCCAGGCCAGCGACACCGGATCGCCTCCACCTCGAGCCCACCACACGCACATCCTCATCGCGTGCTGGACGACCTACAAAAAAAGTTATTTTTGTATGAACAAAACTTAAAAAACAATGAAGATACAGTAAACAAGATTCAAATATGAATTGTCAATTGTCATCGTCATAAATGTCACGTGCCGTCAATGTCAATGTATTAGAAATAATAATAAAAAAACAATTACACTTTAGCTTTGTTATCAAGCAAGTATACCTGTGCACGTCCCCAGAATCCGGTTTTGTATGTTGTAGGCTCTTTCACGGTTGCAGCTTCCGATAGTATGGAGATGAGTCTCTCGGTAGTTTCCTCTATGCTCATCAACGACAGAAGTGCCTGCAATTTTATTACGTAACTAAATATACGAGTCTTGCGAAACAGATGCAGCGAAAGATTCTGAGAACGTTCGATGGAGAAGGCGACACTTTTACGCAAATGCTAAGGTTATTATTATGGATTGTTTTTCCTTTCATTTTTGTAATGTTCTCGTCCTTTTTTAACGGGTTTCGTCCTACTACACTTTTATATTTTTTACTGGTGGTAGGACCTCTTGTGAGTCCGCACGGGTAAGTACCACCACCCCGCCTATTTCTACCGTGAAGCAGAAATGCGTTTCAGTTTGAAAGGTCCCCACCTTTCAAACTGAAACGCATTCAGTTTGAAAGGTGGGGCAGCCATTGTAGCAATACTGAGACTTTAGAATTCATGTATATCTCAAGGTGGGTGGCGTATTTACGTTGTAGATGTCTATGGGCTCCAGTAACCACTTAAAACCAGGTGGGCTGTGAGCTCGTCCACCCATCTAAGCAATAAAAAAAAACATATTAAAGAAATTATTTTAATTTTACCATGAAAAATCTGNTTCAGTTTGAAAGGTGGGGCAGCCATTGTAGCAATACTGAGACTTTAGAATTCATGTATATCTCAAGGTGGGTGGCGTATTTACGTTGTAGATGTCTATGGGCTCCAGTAACCACTTAAAACCAGGTGGGCTGTGAGCTCGTCCACCCATCTAAGCAATAAAAAAAAACATATTAAAGAAATTATTTTAATTTTACCATGAAAAATCTGTTGGAAATCAAGAAGGCTTGGATAGCTTTAGATTGATGCCGCAGAGGCAGATCGCTCTCAATCACGAACGACTAACGAAATATACGAGACGAAGACTATCGGCACTCATGGCAGGGGTCAGGGCCAAATTTGGAATTTTAAGTTATATGGAAATTCTGATTTCTTCATACACAGGGCGGTTCAAACTTCAGTTTTATTTATAATTATAATTCGATAACAACATACAGGATGCAGCTTGGGCGTCTGCGAGGGATCTGACGATGGAAGAGTTCCGATTCGGCATAACAGTTGAAGGAGCAAGGCTAAGCAATCCTGACGCCACTCGCTGTCATCGCTCCTTTGTAGCACTCCTGCAAAATTGCATGTACATAGATTGATAATTTTAATTATTTAATTCAGCAACCTATTTATTAGATAAGCAAAACAAAATTGTTTTTGTATTGGACAAAGTATCATAATATGATTAATTTTAAAGATGCTTGAATAAAAAATGCTTACTTTATTGTTACAATTATAATTGAAATTAGGGACTCACCAGACATCATTATATCATACAGTAGTCTCAACCCTCCCTTTTTTATAAAAATATCATTCCATGTCTCGATACATATGTTTTCTTCATCTCCCTTATTAGAGGGTGTTTCCTTAGTAGTGGGTGTGGTACTGGTCGAACTCAGCTTGTCTACTATATGCAAGGAATACATGAGCTTCTGTGGACTGGTGGGGTCTAACAGTTCTGGTAATTTGCTTTCGGTGGGATTCTGGAAGGCTTCTAGAAGGGTCGGGTTCAGGGGAACCGCTTGCAGGATGTCCCACACCCGACGCGAGAGTAGTTGTGCCTTGGTGTGAGCTACGGGTTCCTGGAAAGAGACCATTTGCATTGTAAATAAGCTATTTTCATTTATCATTTGCTCTACGTAAAATAAATAACAGTTTAAAAAAACTAACAAAAGACGCCTTTATAGGAAATCCAACTAAAAAATAGAAAATAAATTTTAATAAATTTGAATTAAAAATAGTGTAAGAAAAAACGATTTTATTGTAAAAAAGCGTGGGGTGCTTTTCAGGATATTATCAAAATAACCCTTCTACTCATATCTGTTCATAAAATATTTATAAGTACTGATACCATGCATTTATTTTCTATTTTTTAGTTGGATTTTCTATAAAAGCGTACATATTTTGTTAGTTTTTTAAACCATTATTTATTTTTAATTTTTTAGTTGAATTAATTTTTTTACAATTATTATTTTTTTAATATTGAATTGTCATCGGTCCTTAATAAGTATACCAAATTTCGAGTTAATCCGACGTCTTGAAGGGTGTAAAAATCATGTTCAAAGATTCTGTTACATACTAACATACATACGTCTGAAGCTAATAAAAGCGTATTAATAAAACAGTATTCGTTCTCGTTCTAGTTCAATCATGAAAAGACACGAGAAATTATCAAATATTTAGAGAATTTAAACAATTGACGTTACTCCGTTAGGGCCTGGTTCCTTCATCTGGCCCAGAGCCTGCATTAGTGAGAAGAGCTGGTGGAAGCAAGTGGGCTCCAGTAGCAGCAGCGTGGGGTAGCGCGCGTGGGACGGAGGCAGCGCCCACTCCCCCCACCCGCTGCGGCCTCCTACACCCACAGACACGAACACCAACTGTGGAGAGATACATTACATTAGCGTTCATTTTTAGAAAAATAGTTCATCATTTTGTACTTTTACACGTTTTACGAACTGTTAACAAAAGTCATTTTTAAATCAATTAAATAAATAAAAAATGATACAATTGCGATGACTTCTAAAACTAAAAATACCAATGAGACAATTGCGATGACAGACAGTTTTAGAACTAAAAATACCGAGACCGCAATGCTTACCTGATTATCTTTAAACCCCATGTCATAGAGAGTTCTTTCGTCGTAATCTACTGTTAATTCTTGGCCTTGTGTTATCATGCGGAGAGGACCATCAGTGGATAATGCAGTCACACCTTCTTCACCTTGTATCTGTGGGGTTTTANATACCAATGAGACAATTGCGATGACAGACAGTTTTAGAACTAAAAATACCGAGACCGCAATGCTTACCTGATTATCTTTAAACCCCATGTCATAGAGAGTTCTTTCGTCGTAATCTACTGTTAATTCTTGGCCTTGTGTTATCATGCGGAGAGGACCATCAGTGGATAATGCAGTCACACCTTCTTCACCTTGTATCTGTGGGGTTTTAAATTTACACTATTACCTTGGTCAATTTTTTTGTTTACTTTTTTAGCCATTGGCATTCGAACCTTGTTTTGAATGTAATGAAATTATTTATTAAGCATTTAAATGTATTTTTAAAACAAACTTTAAAAATATATTCGAATTTAAAGCGATAACCAATACCATTTTTAGGTTTGGTTCAATATTTCTAATGATATTTGGGGTGGTAGACAGAATGGATACGTATGACGCTGACGTGCTAAAAGCGTTTCAAAGTGTTATAAAAGTCCTTCTACGGACGAAGCTTGAAAATATTTCTTAGTACAGTGGCTGACTGACTTCATGAGCGACGGTGGGTGTTTACTCACTATCGGTTGGGTCTGTCTGCCTTCAACGGCAACATACATATGGTAGTAGTCGTTACAAAAAAATATAATATTACCTATTTATGTTTATGAAGATAATTCTAGATTAAATGAACCAAGGTGAACTTTTTTATAACTGCTGTACGAAAACCAATATAAGTCGTTACAAAAAATATAATATTACTTATTTACGTTTACGAAGATAATTCTAGATTAAACGAACCAAGCTGAACTTTTTTAATAGCTTCTATATGATAATCAATATAGAATTGTTTGTTTTAGAATAAAAAGTTGTTTTTCACCTGTTTCTCCCACCAGAGGTGCACGTGCGCCCGGAGATGCGCGACGTAGTCGGAGGGGTGCAGCGCGAGCGTGGCGCGCGGCCCCGCGCCCGCCGGCTGCAGCAGCACGCGCACCGAGCCCGCGCCGCCCGCGCCCTCCCACGCGCCGCTCTCGCACAGCTGCCAGCGCCGCAGGTGGTACGCGTATCTGTGCCGCACCAACAACACTCCTTGCTAATGTCACTTATTGCTTTTTTTTTTAAAGGGAATTTATGACCTGGTAACTTTTTTTTTATTGCTTAGACGGTTGGACGAGCTCACAGCCCACCTGGCGTTGTTAAGTGGTTACTGGAGCCCATTGGCATCTACAACGTAAATGCGCCACCCATCTTGAGATATAAGTTCTAAGGTCTCAAATATAGTTAGAACGGCTGCCCTACCCTTCAAACCGAAACGCATTACTGCTTCACGACAGAAATAGGCAAAGTGGTGGTACCTACCCGTGCGGACTCACAAGAGGTCCTGCCACCAGTAACACTTGACCTGCTAACTAAGATATTTAGGTCAAGTCTTATTTTAATTTTAATGAAAACTGCACTATCACTTTTTTATATATGAAAAATGATAATATGAAGCGAAATGAAATGATGTTAATATAATGATGATAAAATGAAATGAGATTGATGATATGGGATGAAATATAATCTCAGTAAAATGTTGGTTATTTACGGAGATTTTTTCAATGGACTTTTTGGAGGATCTCGAGAAGTTACGTCCAGGGGCTTTATTTTATTTTCCCACATTTGTGCTCTTTCACAGATACTAAGCAGTTAATAAACCACCGGTATGACACATTTAAACCTGAAGAAACACTAAATAGACAAAATAAAACAAATCACACAACTTCACTCCTCGCGTTTCCGCCAAAAAGTCTTCGTCGCTTATTGCTGTAAATGGACCCACCTACTTATATACAGTGTGATGTCAACAGATTTCTGTAGCCTCTAAACATATAATGATCTATGGCTCGTTCACCCATTGTAATAAAAGCAAAAACTATAAATATAAAATTATAGTACAGTAATATTACTTCACACATATGAGTCGTCTATTATCAAAGGTGGCAATCTGTGCATTTGGACAAAAAAAATTTATTGATATGTCAATACAGATTTATTTGAATATAATCGTCTCCTTCAAAGAATACGGTTCAAAAGCTGCATTAAATAAAGGTTAATACTTAACCTGTTATTTATCTAAGGTGTCGTTCAGGAGAGTTTTGTGACTGCCAATGGAATACAAAGTCAATAATTCGTTTTTCTGATTTACCAGTCATTGTCCAAAAGTCAGATTGCCGGCTTTGATAATAGTCGACTCATATGTACCTTCTCTTGAACGTATCCAAATGTGTTTTCAGCAACAAAAGCGCCCTCTGTATGCACTGCAGAGCCGCTTCTTCAGTCATATGCTCGTAAATGTTCTGTTTGTCTATTGTCTTCTCCTCTTTGCTTTCAGTGGCTACATCATTCTGTGCTGACGAAGTGCCTTCTCCGTCCTGCTTTGTCGATATCAATCTTTCGGCAGCGGAAGTGAGATGGAACATGCATTTAGAAACAAAATCGTCTTCTTGCTGGAGCTGCTGACCCATATAGTAACTGTTCAAGTACTGAATGGCCCCCATCGACACGTCTAGAAAAAAAAATTAAAACGGTAATATACATATTTAGTTTAGATCTTCGATCAATAATACTACTAGATTTCCGATTAGCGCTTCAAAAACGGCCCGAAAAATAAGACCACAAATTTATTTGTGGTCTTATTTCAAATTAGTATGGTCCAATCATAGCCAACACTAAGACGTCAAAACGCTGCACTGCGCGTTCAAAAACGGAGTAAAAAACCAGGTTTTGGAAGGAATATATATTTTTTGGTAAGTTTATGTTATTAAGTGAATTTCATAAAATAATAAACATAATTATATACTAAGTAAAATTCAATTTACGAATATTGTAATTGTTTGGCCAATGTTTGCAACAAGGCACCAACTATTGTAACAAACATCACCTATTCTTGAACAGGGAACGCATAGAGTAGTTTTGTTATTTTATAATGTTATTTTTGTTTGTAGATTTCCTAGTAGCCCCTTTTCGCTGTGCACCGTGGATATATATTGTCGCGAAAGAAAGAGGATAAGAAATATAAAACCCTTATAAAAATTCTAGAATTGTTCAATGGTGGTGGCAAATCAATGCAAAAAAGTATTATAAAAACTTTATATGTAGCTGAATCTGTTTAAAGGTAACTAAACAAAAAAAAAAATTGTTTTAATTACTTCTGTTTAAAGAATACGTGGAAAACGTTGTTGTTCCCTTGTTTCCTTTCATATTTTTTTTACTTTATTCAATTTTATTATTTATTACCTATTTATTGTAATAGCGGCAATGTAAAATATTATCTACTACTTTTTTGAATCGGTCAAAAATAGTTGCGACCATACAAAACAAACCTAAAACAAATATATTCTACAACTCTACGTCTTTCAATACTTACTGTGTTCTGAGCATTGAAATGTAATACCAAGAACTACATCTAGTTCCACAATACAATAAGCACGAAATTTTTAACAAATATTTTTAACCTTATAAATTAGTCTTTATTTTCAATACTTACTGTGTTCTGAGCATTGAAATGTAATACCAAGAACTACATCTAGTTCCACAATACAATAAGCACGAAATTATTAACAAATATTTTTAACCTTATAAATTAGTCTTTATGTATCATTTTAGAATAAATATTTTTGAACTGATGACTTTTTATGTTCAAGTGACATTTTAAATTTATGCCACAATATTCTTTCTCTGACGAAAGGACCTAAATAAATATATTTTGCAATGGTAATTAAACTTTATGTTTAAGCATTAAGGTTTATAATAAACTGAAGCATTAAGAAATGAAGATGTTTTCGAGTCTGAAAGCGTGGCCACTCGAGCGTCTTATTTTTGTTCCTGATCCTTAATCCAGTACTATTATTGATCGAAGGTTTAGATAATAAAAAATATTTCTATGAAAATATTACCTGTGCTATTGGCTCTAAGTGCAATTTTCCATAAATGATCCATAGCTAATGTATGTGGATGTGCAGTGTCGCGGGAGTCGGCGGTTCCTAAGGCCATTCGTGCCAAATTACACAGCTGTTGATACAGACTTAATCCCATGATGCTTATCGTCTGGAATTAAAATGTTTCAATATTTAAATCTGTAAACATATTCAATATTATTTCGGTCCAGCTTTATGTTAACTTAATAATGGTGCTGATAAAAAAGATCACAAGGTGAATGTCGCTATCAGCCAACACACTTGGTCTTACTTTTAAACTTAGAAGCAACATTGACTATCTAGAATACTGTCTGTTATCCGTCTGTCTATGAATAGTATCAGTGCCATTTTCCGCGGGAATGACATGTTTAAAAGAAAGTAGTCTATGTCACCCTCCAGACCTGATATGAACACTTTAAGCCGCTGCTTCGTTTCGTCGTGAAACAAGGACAAATGAACAAACAAACACAGTTTAACATTTATAATATCATAAACTTTTTTTTTTATTGCCCTTGTAGGCAGACGATCATACGGCCCACCTGATGGTGAGTAGTTACCGTCACCCATGGACTGCAGCAATGCCATGGGCAGAGCCAAGCCGCTGCCTATCGCTTAATACTTTCCAGAAGCCTCGTTTGAAGAAGGACATGTCATAGCCCTCGGGAAACACAGTGGAGGGGAGCTCCTTCCATAGTCGGATAGTACGTGGCAAATAGACCTCTGGAAACGCACTGTCGATGAACGCAGCGTTTCCAGATAATATGGATGAACTCAGCTCCTATGGCAGGAGATGCGATGATAAAAAGGAGATGTATCATCTCAAACAATTCCTCAGAGCACTCCCCATGGAACAAACGGTATAAAATACAGAGGGAACCGAAGTCCCTCCGCAGACCCAGAGGTTGTATGTGTAATAAAGTCCGAACTCACCTCTGGATCCAAAGTCGGCATCTTTTCAACGTACAAGAATCTCAGTGCGTCCAGGCCCAGGGCGTGCAGAGCGTGCTGGTCCGGCGTCTTCGTGTGCGACAGCAGCCACGAGTACAGGCAGTCGGCGCACTCGGGCGTGCCCCGCACCACTAGACACTGCCACAGTTCCTCGACTTGTTCCACTGTCAATCTGGAAATCAAATTTTCATTATTAGCCATGACATAAATACTTCTTCAAACAAGGCTTGTGGAGAGTACTTAATGGTAGGCTGCAGCTCGGCTCTGCCCCTGGCATTGCTGACGTGCATGATCGACGGTGACCACTTATCATCAGGTGGGCGGTGTGTAAGTCTGCCTACAAAGGCAATTAAAATAAAGTATTACATGAAATAATATACAATGACAAAGTAAAACATTTTGACTGAATCATCCGATTGAGGGCTATAGGTTACCAGGCGAACGAAAAGAAAACTATTGACGAAGCGAGTCTTCAAGTTCCAATGGGAATTCTGAAAAACGTACTAGAAAGAGGGTACATAGATGCGTCCGCTCTTAACTACCCGCAGTTTTCGGTCTACCTGTAATCATAGCTCTCGCAACAACGTCGAAATATCAAGAACACTAACATTAACTTTGAAATTCGTAGTAATAGTCAGTCAAATACAATACAAATTAAATTGTGAGGGGACATGGAACGGGGGTGACTGAAAATCAGTTCGATGCATTCACTTAGAACAGCATCAACTGAGCCACCTTCTTTTGATTTTTTTGCTTTTATTTATTTACCTGTAATAATCTAAATGTGTTTGAAAGACTATAAATGATTTTATTATTATTATTATTGAATTGTAGTATCTGAATCGTTCATTGTGGCGGAATATGTGAGAGGCCTACATCCAGCAGTGGAGATATACAGGCTGATGATGATGTAGTATCTCACTTGAAGTGATGCGGCGATCCGACCGGTGAGAATATGGCGGTGAGGAAGTGTAGGCGCACGGTGAGCTCGGTGATGTGCGCGTAGTGCTGCGCGTCCGTGGTGCTGGCGCGGCGGACGCTTGTGTAGTGCCGCAGGTCCTCCACGAACAGCCGCATCATGCCGCGTTCGCGTTCCGCCCACATCACCACCTGCATTGCACAGCACGCTTGCAATGTTACAACTACATATTCTAACAATTCGAAATCTGATACTTTCTTTTAACTCACTAAATACAGTGAGCCCGAACGCATACAGAGGAAAATGTTCAGCATGAAAAATTCGTAAGACAATTTTGTAGAATTTTAATATGAGTCTTTAGAATGCGAAATTTTGTTTCACACAAATTCCGAAACTTTATTCCAAAAAAGATTTCCAATACTACAACGCCCTATTCATTTAATATTATTATGAGACTGTTTTTAACACACAAATATTCAGTCTTCCATATATGCTTCTGCTTAATATAATAGTATGTAGTTAAATTATATATTATTGTACTGGGCAATTCTAATTAATAGAATAATTTTCTTACTTGATGCATGTCCATTCCACGCAATTGTTGAAATGACGAAAACAATTTTGGTAGCAAGCGCAACGAGACAGCCACAGACCTAAAAAATAAATTAAAATAATGTGTTAGTATGCAAGCACAATATTTTTTTACTGGTGGCAGGACCTCTTGTGAGTCCGCGCGGGTAGGTACCACCGCCCTGCCTATTTCTGCCGTGAGACAGTAATGCGTTTCGGTTTGAAGGGTGGAGCAGCCGTTGTAACTATACTGAGATCTTAGAACTTATATCTCAAGGTGGGTGGCGCATTTACGTTGTAGATGTCCATGGGCTCCAGTAACCACTTAACACCAGGTGGGCTGTGAGTTCATCCACCCACATAAGCAATAAAAAAAAAATTAATTAATCAAAAGTTTTGCGAAAAGAAACGCATACCTATGGTTGGCAAGATTATCAAGACATCCTTCTATGAATTTAATCCTAATAAATTTGTCGGTACTGAAACAAAGTAGCGCGCATAGAGCCTTTTCAGCTTCTAACGCCAATCCTTCGCCTAATTGTTCCTGAAAACCAATAAAGATCATAATAATATAGTATAATAATTTACAACTTATTAAACTTATAAAACGATACACTTTTTACAATTACATATTGTATTCAAAAATCCACAAACGTGTAGTTTTAATAAAATATAGCAGTTTTTTATAATATCAAACTATTATATATTGTGGGATGTGTTTATAAATATTAAAAACATGTATAAGGAAGGTTACCTTACCACCCCAAGAGCTAATAGTTGTAAGCAATAGCGAAGCTGTTGAAATAGGGGAGATGGTCAAGCCTTCGGGTCACAAATTGACCAATATCACTATTTCATTACAGTAAATACCTCATGTCGTAAGGTAGTGTTCACGTTATGACATCTACGATATTTTGTAACCAGTTAAAATCAATCGTAAAATCATTCGCTTTGTTCTTATAATGAAAAGATCATTTTTAGCGGTATGGTTGCATCGCGTAGATGTGTTGCTATAGTGCGCGCGGAACTAGTTGGCGGCGCCTTAGGTGGCGACAGGGGTGAGGGGGCAAGTTTCCTACTGCTCGTAAAGCACATAATATTAGACAGTGGTGACTAAATAATAATAAAAATGAATAAATGAAATAATAAATGAAAAAAAAAACAATTGAACTTTTAGAAGTTTACATTGTCTTTATATTGTATATTGTAATTAATAGTAAAATATTGTAATTAATAGTAAAATAAACCAAAAACAAATTAATTATATCAAATTATTTTTACATATTTTAACTGGGATGAAATCAAATGAAATGAGATGAGATAGTATGGGAAGAAATATAATCTCAGTAAAATGGTGGTGATTTACTGAGATTTTTTCAGTGGAGTTTTTAGAGGATCCCGAGAAATTACGTCCAGCGGCTTTGTTTCATTTTCCCACATTTGTGCACTTTCACAGATATTAAACAGTTAATAAACCGCCGTTATTACACATTTAAACCTGAAGAAGCACTAAATAGACAAAACAAATCACACAACTTCAATCCTCACGTTCCCGCCAAAAAGTCGGGCAACTAGTTCCGCGCGCACAGTAGTGTCTGGGTCCATACAACTCACAATGTTGCCGTCCTGCAGCAGGTCCCACAGCAGCGTGTTCCCGGGCCGGCACACGTCGTCCGCGTTGAAGGGCAGCGGCGAGGCGGGCCGGCCGCGCTTGCCCTCCAGCGCCCCGGCCAGCGCGCTCTGTGCCTGGTACTCCGTTATACACTGGGCCTGGTGGGTCACAAACTACTTTTACAAATATCACATTATTCTCATTGCGTATGTTTCACGGGGTATACTTGACAAAATTGACAACCACGAAATTCCCAATTGCCATTAGTCGATTCGGATAATACGTTTTCAAAGATTATTTGATATGCATAGGCTGGTTTGTCTGTGCGCCTGTACAACAAAATCCCACAAGATGTTCAGAACCTACATATACATAGGTTTAAGAAAACTATTAAAGAACATCTGTGCAATAAAGCTTACTATAAAGTCAATGATTATCTAAAAGATTGCACAAAGTGGGAATGAGTTGCTCGCTCCGGGCATTTCAATATTGCAATAATTGTAACGTTATAATATTCATTATAAAAATTAATATTTAAAAAAATGCTAATATTTAAAAAAAAAACTAATATTTAAAAAAAAAAGATATTCCCTCGGAGTTTCTTGCCAGTTTTTCTCAGGACGGAGACTAGCTTTGGTGAATTGGCGGTAGTTTTTGACGTTCAACACGTATGTACTTTCATTTATCTTTTATCTCTATATATAAAAATGAATTGCTGTTCGTTAGTCTCGCTAAAACTCGAGAACGGCTGGACCGATTTGGCTAATTTTGGTCTTGAATTATTTGTGGAAGTCCAGAGAAGGTTTAAAAGGTAGATAAATATGAAAGTGCTCGGAATTAAATAAAAATAACAATTTTGTTTTTCCTTTGATGGTCCCCCGTCGGGCGGATTCCTTTTATTCGTTTTAAGTTTATTTTATACAAAAGCTTAGGTCTTTTATTTTTCGATTGAGGCACTACGAAGTCTGCTGGGTCAGCTAGTGTTGAATAAAAAATTTTTGATTTGATTTGATATTCTACGGTACTACTACGGTACTACGGTACGTACGGACAACTAACGATTACGCGACGGTAGGAGGCCTAAGCAGGTTAAATACTCAACACAACGAACATAAGACTAGAAAACGGTGACGAACATAGATCCTAATTTAGCACGAGAGCCTATTGTTGGAGCCAATATTAAATTTTATAGTGGTATGATGAAGCGAATAAAGAATGGGTGGGGTGCGTGGGTGCGTGCGTGTGTGCGTGCGTGCGTGTGCGTGTGTGTGAATGTGTCTGTGTGTGTGTGTTGAGATAACGGCTAATAAAGGAGAATGGAAAAGAATAACTGGCTGTGTCGACTCCACTTAGTAGGATAAGGTGGAGACAAAGAAGGAGAAGTAGTACGTTTGGCATTGGGATAGTAACTTATATGGCACTGTATATGTCAATTTCAAGTATGTTTAAAATTTATAATAGCCACACTATTTTCCTATGAACATTTACTTTCAAGATTACAATTACCTGCTGTGCCAGTCGTGCCAACTCTTCCTCACAAGCGGAATCGTCTTCGTCGAGGTCGGCCAGATGCGGATGCGAATGCGGAGACAGCGCGGAAGATGCACTGCCCTCCTCCTCGTCACCGGCTCGTCGCTTGTAGCTCTCCATCAATCGAAGCTCCATCAACCTCCTGTCATATATATGGTACTATTATTAAGAAGAGTAGTAGTAGTTTTATTTTTCCAAATGGAAAGGCAAAGATATCTTACCATACAAGCCTAATCTTTTATATATATATATATATATTTATGAAATATGATATTATGAAATGGAATGAGATAATATGATATGGGATATTTTTATGAAAAAAGATAATATGGAGTGAATTCAAATGATATAATATATGATGATATGGGATGAAATATAATCTCAGTAAAATGGTGGTCATTTACTGAGATTTTTTCAGTGGACTTTTTGGAGGATCTCGAAAAGTTGCGTCCAACGGCTTTGTTTCATTTTCCCATATTTATGCACTTTCATAGTTATTAAACAGTTAATAAACCACCGTTATTACACATTTAAACCTGAAGAAACTCTAAATAGACAAAATAAAACAAATCACACAACATCAGTCCTCGCGTTCCCGCCAAAAAGTCGCATTATTAAGAAGATATCACAAAAACACGTACCGTACACATATAACTTAACCCCAAAATTACCTTTTTGAATTCAATTTATTATTTTTGTAGTAATAGCCCCGGTAATTAACAAATTAAAGAGCGGACGGTTAACGTGGTATGGACATGTGATGCGTAGAGAGAAAATACATGTGACTAGAAGATGTATGGAAATGGTAGTGCAAGGTAGAAGGGGAAGAGGTCGACCCAAGAAGACATGGACGGAGTGTGTCAATGACGATATGAGATAGAGAGGAGTGAATGTTGTTGAGCTAACGGCTGATAGGAGAGAATGGAAAAGAAAAATTTGCTGTGCCAACCCTACCTAGTGTGATAAGGTGAAGAAAAAGAAGTTTATCTGTTAGTTTCTTTCATGTTAATTGGTTTATTGGTTCGTTCAAAAGTTTCTTACGTTTGTTCTATGGTTATCTTGACGCTTGTTTTGGCCTCGAACGACGTACATGATGTAGCTCTCTTGAGCGTTTCATAATTTACGTAACATATAAAAATTTTGAAATATAAGATTTACTGGTGGTAGGGGTTATTCTAGAAAAGAGCATATTCTTACCTGAAGGGTAGGCAACGCACTGGCGTAAACGCTGGTGACCGTGGGCGGCGGTGAATCACTTACCATCAGGTGACCCGTGTTGCTCGTTTGCCTCTCGTTGTTATAAAAAAAAAAAGGACCTCTTGCTAGGCCGCGCGGGTGGGTACCACCACCCCGCCTATTTTTGCCGTGAAGCAGTAATGCGTTTCGGTTTGAAGGGTGGGGCAGCCGTTGTAACTATACTTGAGACCTTAGAACTTATCTCAAGGTGGGTGGCGCATTTACGTCGTAGATGTCTATGGGCTCCAGTAACCACTTAACACCAGGTGGGCTGTGAGCTCGTCCACCCGTCTAAGCAATAAAAAAAAAGAAACTATGTTGTTTCTTATTACTATCTCTCTAACCAATTTATTCAAATAAAAAACCTAACCAATCAAATCAAGAACTTACCTAGCGTCTACGTTATCGCAGAGCAACTGGTAATGCGCGGTCTCGCTTCCAGATGATTCCTCTTCCACTTCTGAAACGGACTCGGCCAGTTCGGACGTCTTCAGCTGCGTTGCTACTGGATATAATATTGTTTATTTCAATAATTTAATACGAATATTGTAAGGACTGCTGTGTTATGAAACGGATTTTAGTTTTAATTTTTCGACTAGACTCTCTAATATTATAAAACCATTTTCGTTAGCATAAAAAGTGGTATAGATATTTTGAGGTAGTCACTGATGTTTTAACTCTTGATGTTTTAGAAATCACGGCACACTTGGTTTTAAGCGGTTACCAGAGTATACAAATCACAACGTGAATACTAACGCCCATCTTAAAACTTGAGGTATATGTCTTAATTATTTAGTAATTACGTAAATCCTTTTTTTCCTTATTACGGGTTTGACGTTGGGGGTTGGGCGCAAACGCCACTGTTGGCAATAATTAACATAATAATATATAGTTTAGCTTATTCTATGTTAATATTTGTTTATTATTAGCAACAAAACTGTTATTCTACCATATTTAATAATTAGCAGACACTGTTTTCATGTGAAAATGTTCAGAATATGTTTAATGTTTATATTATTGTTTAAAAACACAAATGACTGTATAAATGATTAAATATGAATAAAGCATCAATATTAATAATAATTTATATTATAATTAACAGTACTAATAGTTTAATTAAGTATTGTAATTGTCATGCAATGATGTTGTTGGCGCCATCTATTATTAGGCTGGATAATAACAATGTTAGTTAATATTACTTAAAAGTAATTCATGTAAAATAAATTAAATGTGAGTCATGTAAAATCACTAAAATATGTATTTTGAATATTAAGCTATGTCTTGTAAATTGTTTCGAAGTAATTACATTTGTTTGTATAAAAGAAGTTGTAGTTGCTATAACCATCATAAAATGGCAAATTGTGTAAGAACCACTGAATAACTAAGGCGTGGCTTTTTGTTGTAAACAAGTAATGTTAAAGTTATACATAATTCTATTGTATTTTAATTGTAAAAGACCTTATTGTGTGTAAACCCTGGCGTAACGCCGACATATACCTTCATCGTGAAAATCATCCATGAACAAGTCTTAACTACATATATTTCATTACAAAAATTGGTACCTGCCTGGAGGATTTGAACGCCGGCACTGTAGCATTGCTTGTTACGAGTGCACCGGGCGTGTTATCCGTTAGGCCACGACGACTTCATCGTTAAAGAAACATGTCATCTATACTGATATGTAAATCTAGTGGTTTATACGGATGTTCCGTTATAACTACTGAACCAGAGTGTTGGACTCCCAAATAATAATGACAATAAATATAAAGGTTAATTTTAAATGCCCAGCGAAACGGGCGAGTACGGCTAGTATCAAATAAAATTACAGTAATCAATAAGATTATGACCGTGCACTCACGGAAATGCCTAGCTTTGCCCGGTTTGTGTCTCTTTTTGTAGAGTTTCTTCTTGCGGGGACGGAGCAGCTCCTCCGCTCCGCTGCTAGCGCTGCCGCTGCTTCCGGCGCGTTTATTGCGTCTAAAAAATACAATAAGTTAATCGGACATTCGATGTATCAATAAATTTTAAGCTTAGAAAAATGTGATCTAGAGAAGGAAATCGACGCTTGAAAGGCAAACATGACTAAGCGACAATAACTGCTTTGTACATAAATGATAGGCAATAACCATATTCGATGCGCAAAAAAATATATATTTCTAGGTCTATTAAAATAATTTCAATCCTATTGCTCGATAGATTCGTTAAAATAGAATTTTTTTCTGGTATTTCAACTTTAAATTAGTCTACTGTAAAGTTCACGCATTGTCGCTTAGTCATGTTTGCCTTTCAAGAGTCGAAACGATTCCACATTGATAAAAAATTGTGTAATTTAATTGGCAAGATTACGACTTCTAAATTATGTGTATTGGATATTGAACAAATGACAACGTACTTTTGACAGGACTTTAATGGGGTGCATTCCTTTTTCGCCAGCTCTTCCCCTTCACGTAACCAGTCTTGATCGGCTATGAAACAATAGTGACATAAATACGTAATAACCCAATTTCGTGTTATTTTTAGTAATTTTTGCTTAGATGGTTGGAGGAGCTCAATCCACCTGGTGTTAAGTGGTTACTAGAACCCATAGACATCTACAACGTAAATGCGCCACTCAACTTGAGATATATAAGTTCTAAGATCTCAGTATAGTTGCAACGGCTGCCCCACCCTTCAAACCGAAACGCATTACTGCTTCACAGCAGAAATAGGCGGGGTGGTGGTACCTACCCGTGCGGACTCACAAGAGGTCCTACCACCAGTAATTAAAAATTGATTTTATTTATTGATTATTTATTGAAAAAGAAATTAAATAAAAATAAGATTTCAAAATACCTGTTAGTTCACGTTGATGTTTGCTTTGTTTCCTTGGCGTCGGACCGGCTTCTTCGCCTGAAGTACTTAATTCTTCGCACTGAAAATATATTGTAAATTTTGAATCAATACCATACTCTATTAAATTGCTTTATTAAAAAAATTGTCTAGTTCTAAGATGAAAGGCGATTGCATGCAGCAGAGATGCAAATGTTGAGATGGATGTGTGGAGTAACGAGAATGGATAGAATACGGAATGAATATGTTAGAGGATGTCTGAGAGTGGCACCGGTGACTGAGAAGTGCACGTTTGGGATGGTATGGACATGACTGATGAGACAAAATGGAAATGAGGCTGCTATGAGAATGTTAACTATGAATGTGGAAGGATATAGAGGAAAAGGTAGACCTAAGAAGAAATGGATGGATTGCGTGAAAGACGATATGGGTAAGAAGGGAGTGAGCGAAGTAATGGTATATGATAGAAGAGTATGGAAGGAGAAAACATGTTCCGTTAACCCCAGGTGACTGGGAAAAGGGCAGGATAATGATGATTAACACTTATCATACCAACACTTACTGATACCTATTTCTACCATAGCAGGTAGATAATGGTATACGACTAGTATTACTCAAAATAAACAAAAGAAAACAAACAAAAAAATATATAATAATGTAGATTAATTCGTAAGAAAAAGTCATGAAGTCAGATGTACAAAAGCAATAAGAAGATACGTGCATTTTCAATGCAAAAGTTGAAAATGGTTCATTTGACCCATTATGGTATGTTTAGTGTTAAAAAAATAGTCTAGAATATTTTTAAAAAGCTTTTGTTATGATTACCGGATCGTCGTCGGAATTGGTCTGGTCCATGCTGACGCTGGCCTCGGAGGAGGAGCGGTGCGGCGGCTTGCAGGGCGGCGGCGGCACGCGCGGCTCGTCCAGCGCCGGCGACGCGCCGCCCGAGCCGCGGGACCACATCGCGCGAGTCAGGGCCGACGCCAAGTACAAACTCTGACGAACAATTACCAAATACAGTGGTGTACATTATTATTTTTATTGTTTAGATGGGTGGACGAGCTCACAGCCCACCTGGTGTTAAGTGGTTACTGGGGCCCATAGACATCTACAACGTAAATGCGCCACCCACCTTGAGATATAAGTTCTGAGGTCTTAGTATAGTTACAACGGCTGCCCCGCCCTTCAAGCCGAAACACATTACTGCTTCACTGCAGAAATAGGCGGGGTAGTGGTACCTACCCGTGCGGACTCACAAGAGGTCCTAACACCATAATTACGCAAATTATAATTTTGCGGGTTTGATTTTTTATTACACGATGTTATTCCTTCACCGTGGAAGTCAATCGTGAACATTTGTCAAGTACGTATTTCATTAGAAAAATTGGTAACCGATATATATTAGATATGAACGCAACGGAAGTCTTATCTTTTAGGCCACGGCGACTGCAAACTTCATTATTTCTGGTATGATAAAACAAAAATGGTATAAATTTATTACTATTAGACGGGAATTCACTTTTACGATTTAGCAAGTTTTATCTTATAACATTATTATTAAACCAGTCCTAAAGTATTTGGCATGTCATTAATATGTTGTTATGTACTAATTGCAGTTGTACCTTAGCAATATACCTTAGCAATATATACAATATAATAGTACATTCCTTTAATATCTTCAGTTCTTTACGACATTTGCTATATTTCCGAAGTTTTACAAAGTTATGCAGTTTTTAGGCTAAGGTCGATAAATATTTTTCTTTTTATAGTGACTTACTAACAAAAGTTTAAGATAAACTATGTCTTGATCATATATCCATCAAACCCAAATTCATCACTGAATCTTCATAGATACACAAGTTAATTATTTATCAACTCTCAGAGTTCTAATTGAAACATAATTTGAATTAGAATAAATATGAACATACCTGTTCTGTGTGTTCTTTGGGTGGTAAAGCACAGAGTAGGCTGTAGAGATGAGCACAGGGCTTTGGAGCCAATGCTCTAATAAAACCAGGTAGCAGATCATACACCTGCCTCCCACAATGTTTCAGCTGTGCAGCTGCCCATACCAACTCTACATGCTCTGGGGTCACCCGACCTTCGACTGCCAGAAACTTAAGTATCATGTGGGACTGCTTTATAACCTGAAGAATCCAAAGAATTTAACTATAGCAGTTTTAAATAGTATACACCTTGAGTTACAATTATTGCTAAAATTAACAGTATGTTCAATATTCATTAAATTGATCACTAAGCAGAACCAATTTAATTTATTCTCTTCTATAGTTAATTTGTTCTCTTTAAGTTTTTAAATATAGATAATCAACGAATACTGTTATATGTATATTGTATTTATTGTAATAATCAACAAATCTGTTCAGAAATAAAGTAATATCACTGTTAACAACAATGATAATGACCAATCATAATCACATGGACAGTTTGCCTATTGCAAGGCAATGCAAAATGTTTCACAGGTTGTCTAATTGTTATTTAAAAGTTTATAGAAAAACTTGCATAAATTACCAAAAACCTTTATCACTGTGCAATTGATTTATGAAGTAGCAATAGACATAAGGTTATTAGAAGAAGAATAAATATTAGTCTTGACCAGAGACTGAGTCTTTTTAAAAGCATTTTTTACCCTTTTTTTTAATATATATTACTAGTGGTTCAATCATCTTTTGCTTTCAAATACGTCTCTATGGTGCTGAGTCGTGGACGATTCGAACAACAGAGCGGAAAAAATAGAAGCGTTCGAGATGTGGTGTTGGCGAAGAATGCTCCGCATACCGTGGACCGCTAAGAGAACAAACAGATCTGTCCTCGAGCAACTTCGTATAGAAACGAAACTGTCGACGATTTGCTACCAGAAGGTTCTTGGTTACTTTGGTCACATTGCTCGGCGGCCACCAGACAACCTTGAAAGATTGATTGTGGTGGGCAAGGTAGAAGGGAAAAGACCCGCGGGCCGGCCACCAAACCGTTGGTCGGATCAGATAACTGCACTCACTGGACTCTCTGTTGCGAAAGCCCTGAGAGAAGCCGAAAACCGAAGCAAATGGAAGCTGAGGGTACAAAGAGCCACGAAGGGCTTTCAAGGACACGACACAATGCTATTTAAGATAATATACACAATGCTGCATAATGATGTTACTTACCTCCACATGCAAATTGGGTCCAAACAGATGTTCAATGATATGATTGTGTGTGAGCCATGATGCTAATTGTTGACCAGCTACTTCTGGATCAGATGTTGGTTCCCCGGCACACATTTCATTATATGCTGCGATGTGTGCATTAATTTGGGCCACACCACCAAGTCGCATGGTGAGTGTGCTACTGTTGAAATACTTAAAGGCCAATGCTAATCCATCTCCATCAAAAGCCAGAGGTGCATCTAAGGGTTCCTTTGCTGCACCCCACATAAAATCTGTTGACAATTTTTGTAATAATTATAGTTTCAAAGCTAAGACCACCACTATATAATGGTATTGTAAATTCCTCTCCATGTCATAAGGTTGGCAGCGTAATTGAAATGTTCTGCTATGGGTTATATAGTATTTGCTTAAATGCAGTATGAATCAAAACATATGTTTAATTATGTTGATCACCTTAACAGACTATTTTATAACTTCTAATTAAATTGTGTTTGGGTTAATAAAGTTATTTGTTCTTGTCATTTATATGTTACTAGTACCCATGACACAAAAAAATCCTGGCTTTGGGTTGTTGAATTTCAAATATATAATTTAAAGGTGTTGTTTGAATACCGGGCTCAGAGGTATGGATTGGAAGAGGGATGTGTCCAGCAGTGGACGACTGTGGACTGTTGATGATGAAGATGTTTGAATGCACAATCTTACCTGCCATAGATTTAACAGCTGGCATCCTAAGATCTTTATCTTCTAAGCTGCACATGTACTTCAATATTTTGCTCCTCAAGGGCATAAACAGCTGCGCAACTGCTCTAAAGTTCAACCACAATTTCAGATTACCAATAGCTGCTACTATGGCATGGGCCATTGACAAAGGAAGAGTTGACGATGTGGCATGTTCAAATACTGATGTCATAGCACATACACCTCCTAATTTACAAAATAAACTAACATTACGAAGTAAATATGCTGGGATTTCTGTGTCATGAAGATCACAGTATGAACTTAGATTTGATATCTCTTGAGCAGAGAGGTCATCTAAACGACTCAAAGCAGAATGCTTGCATGCTAAGTATAGAGGAAAATTCAACAAGAATATTTTGGACACAATGTGCATCAATTTCTCTTTCTGTTGTATAGGCCATATTCCAGCATCATCAGTGGGCAATTCTTCAGCTGACGGCTCAAGTTTTTCTGATGAAGATGCTGTGAGCTCATTATCTATCTGGGGCTCTTTTGGTTCAGTCGATTTATCTTCATCTCTAGGTACATTGGTCTCAGTAGCTTGTTTTTGTTTTTCATCAGCTGGAGGAGCTTTTGCAGCTTCAATAAGGTCATCTTTAAGTAGTTTCAATTGACATACAGACAAGCACAGAATGCTCTGTACTAGTAAGTAAAATCTTTCAAAGTTCTTTACATCTCTGTAGCAGCACATGCATTGCCTAAAAACAAATTTGTTTATGTAATTATGAATTTTGAATTATGAATACACTGAATTAGTGTTTATGAAATATTTATAAATATGTACTAAGACATTACTGAATTTAATTCCATCATAGTTAATACCATACACTTTATTGTGTTTAAATAATTTTTGACAATTGAAACAAATTAACACAGTTAAATTATGTGATAGTATGTAAAATATTAAATTTATCAATTTGTAATAAACATAAAAAACGAAAAAAAAATCATTATTGTTTCGTTTTCACAACAAATGCAAATTTGTTCGAAACTTTGTGTAATTTTTTCTAGAGACCTGGTTATATGGGGTTGACGATAAGTTTACCTTTGCGGCCAAGATATAATGTAGTTCAAGACAGTTTCAAGCTCAGACTGGCTTATTGTTGGATATTGAGATACATCATCAGTTAATCTTGTTTCACCTAAAATATTAAAACACTCTTTAGTCTGTTCTAACATGTCAACATTAAAACTTTTTCATCAGCTGTTCTTGGCGTATTAATTGAAATATGTACGAAATAATGCGCGAAACAGCAAATGGAATACTACATTTCGAAACAATGTAACTTACAATTCACTAAAAGCTGTGAAAATTCCGTACAAACATCACACATTATTGATGTATTAAGGTCAATATAAATTAATTATTATAGAAATTGCATTTCAGATATTTCTTCAGGTATAATATTGATCATTATTGAAAGTTTCGTATCAGAAACGAACACTGCCGTAAAATGTCACAAAATCCGTTCCACCATTGTTGACGATTGTTGTCAAAACTACGTTTTGTTAAAGCTTTATTTTTCAATATTGTAATGAAGAAATAAATAATTTGACATGACAAATTGTAGAAACCAATATGTAAATAAAATTTTAGCTATTTCATTTGACTTAGCATAGATTTGAAAGAATTCGAACATAATCGATGTTTTTGCAAGTGAAACTAACTTATTCTATTGGAACGAATAACAAAACGTAAGTAGCATTTTTAAATTCAATCGAACTCTAAAAGCAAAAGTGTATGATAATTTCGAAAGCGATATATGCATTTATAAATAAATAATATTAAAAATACAAACTATCATTCATCAAAAATAAACTGTGCATATTTAAAAGTTTTTTATCTGTAAAGTTAATTTAATACCATAAATTATGCGTTTTTCATAAGAAGGAAGGAGGGAGGAGAAGCTTTGGTCAGAAACGAAATATTTAACTAAAAAGGAATACTTTGTCAAAAACTTTCATTTAATATCATAAGACAACATCTTCTACTTCTATATCGTTCCCTCACTAATGAGGATCGCGACCACATGCGACGTACTTCCAATGTGCTCGATCATGGGTGGTATGGACTGCATGGTACAGACTCTCTTGCTAGATCTGACCATCTGGCTGGTGTTCTGCCCACGGCGCGCTTGCCCTCTATGCGACCCGTAATTATGAGCTTCTCTAATTCATGTCTGAGAGACCGCATGATGTGTTCGAAGAAGCTCATAACACGTTCCCTGCAGATGGAAGAGAGCCTTTTTCGGATGTCTAGCTGCCTTAGAATGGACTCGTTTGTTCTCATCTATTAAAAACAATTTATTACAAACTTCATTTTAAATAATGAATTACAAATTTAAAAATGAAAATTACCATTCTGAGATTACTCAACATGGTATGCATAATGCTCGTCTGCTCAAATCTCGAACTATTTTAGTCTTATTATATCTATGAATCTTGAAACACACAATTGTAGAAACTATGGAGGGTAGAGGTAAGGAACACCATCATGATAAATTAATAAAAAATAAAAAGTATCCGCTAAAGGTGGCCAATTAAGGTGGCGCCATACTAGCAAGTGGAAAGATTTAAAAAACACCGCCGTAAGCTATTACACTTCAGCTATGTTCCGCTAAGCACTGCAAGCATTGTAAAAGGTGTGACGTAAATTTAGTTAGTACGAGCCGTTCCTTTATAGCTAGTTATACTGGTCAATGCTTAAAACGGAACGCAGTACATCTTATTAAATCCATGCGTCGAAGTTTTTTGGCGTTGTTTTCACTTCAACAATTTATTTTTTATTTAAATTTGGTTACATTAAAAAATTGAATATACTTTTTAGTAAAAAAAGATTGTTTTTTAAGTAATTTAATGTATAATAATTTAATAACCGAATTATTGAAATGAAGTTAGGCACAGCAAAGCTGATCACGTAATCAAGGCACTGAGATCTTCTTATTTCGAAAACGTACGTATTTATGACGTCACATATAATTTCTGTAGGATACTGCAAGTATACTGTCAGATCTTTACGGAACGAATTTGTACCCAGTAAAAGCACTGAACAGTGCTTGCTGTGTATGGTAGTTTTCCAATTACAGCACAAGAGCGCATTATGCGGCATAATGCTCAACTAAGCTTCAGCATAATTCGGCATTGTGCGTCACTGTGTCGCATTATGCTCTGTAATTGGAAAACTACCATTAAGTAATGGTTAATTACAAGCTTAGTTGAGCATTATGCCACATAATGCGCTCTTGTGCTATAATTGGAAAACGGCCTGAATTATATCGGAACAGCCTTCACTTCAACCCAGCAAACTATACTGTCTAAAACTGCTTATTCATACCATTTCCACTTCCTACACTAGCGCTATTTCGGTGAGTATTTTTACTATAATATGTTGTTTACAGATGGATACTTTTTCAGCTTGTCTATAAAAGATGGTACACCTTAGTTCTATCCGCCAAGCCAATCGTTTCATTTAGTTTGATTTAACTTTTTAGAGTCTCAAATAAATCAATTTCACCTCATTTTATCCATATCATTTTTCACCTATTATTTATCATAAAACACAAATATATAAAAGGCTACGCTGTATGGTGTGATACATTGCATATCAGGGTGGAAAGTGGAACTACCATAAATTAATACTATGTAGGTACCCACTTGAAATCTCAAAACATAGATTATCCACTGAATCCAAATATGTCAAACGAAAAAAGATAGAAATGATGGTTTAATTGTTTTTCCGGTTTTCCGTTCAAAATTAATGTTTAGAAATGATTCAGCTTCTTTACATTGTTGCAAGCCTACATTTATTACTTTGTCCATTCACTAAAGTAGAGGAAAGTTTTAATATTCAGGCTGTGCATGATATTTTATATCACCGACATAACCTTTCAGAGGTGCATATAGAATCTAATTTTGGAATCATAAGTTAACACAGTGGATAAATTTTGTTCCAATTCCAGTACGACCACAATGAGTTCCCGGGAGTTGTGCCGCGAACATTTATTGGTCCGCTCATTATTTCGATGCTGTGTTCTCCAGCTGTTGGTGTTTTATTTCTTTCTGGGTTCAATAAATTTTGGGTCCAATACGCGGGTTAGTATTTACATTAAAATATTAACGTTCCGATCAAAATAAATGGCACAGTCAACCAAATATTTCAATCAACAATACACAAATATTTTGAAGTTTGTTTACATAGTATCAACAACAAACAAAACTGACTCATAAATACATATTAAAACCCTTTAAATTTTAAATTATTTTTTAATTTATAAATGGTAGTTATTGCATGATGATTTCTTTAGACGCTTTTCTCAATTAGTGTAATTGCAAAATTTTGGTAATATTTTAGTTCGCTTGACCCTGGCACTGACAGTAATTGTAACATGGAGTAGACTAAGGAATGTGATACAGAAACAGTTTGGAAACACTTTTGCCTGGTGGTACTCGCTCATCACAATCACTCAATTCCATTTCATGTTTTACATGAGTCGACCATTACCTAACATAATGGTATTACCCTTAGGTAAGTAAGAAGTTACCTTTAAACTTAAACCTTGAGTGAGGAAGTTAATACTTCATAATTATCATGGCTGTTGTTCCATAAGAGCCACAGCTGTGTTCTTTGCACGATTATAATTTAGCTGAAGTTGTAACAAAACATAGCAATAAATCCAATAGTGCAACAGCCACAACTTGCCTGTGCAAAGTAATAGTTGGTAATCACTAAAGTTATTAACAAAATTATAAATATAAATTTTAATTTTACTTTAGGCAGCTGGTTATCTGATTGAAGATACAGAGTTTACACTAGTACCATGCTATTTTTCCACATTACACTCATTTTGGTTGATGAACACCAACATTCTGGATGAATTCTGAGGATGTAGAAAAAAGGTTACTAATGGTCACAATTCTATAAAACAATATTATAATATATTGAAACTCAATATGGTTTAAATAGTCATATATCAATAATAATTATCCATTAAGGTGCGCTCATATTGAGTGATGTGACTATACACATTTGATCATTGTAGTAGCCATTGATGACAATTAGTTGCATGGATAATGAAATTATACTCATCAATTCATCTTTATGGATGGCTACAAATGTGAACATATTACATTATGTAATGAACATCAAACGTCAATCCTGCAAAAACACTAATTTGTGTGGGCCATAAACTCACTCAATCCATTTCTGCCTATCCAATAAAAATGTAAAAGGAAAAGAAACTCACAACGCACTTCTGAACCCAAAACAAATTCATTCTTTATTAAAAACCCAGAATTTATTAGCCACTACAAACAATTTTCAGTGTTGCTGGCTTATGAGGGGTGGTTTTCTGGTAGCAACAAACAATTCATAATATCAGCAGGTGCAGCTATTGTAATATTCAGATCTGAGCTAGCAATGCTCTTTGGATTATTCCTCATTATGAATTTGTATACAAGAAAAATAGACATTAAGACGTAAGTGTAGTAAAAATTACCATTATCTCTAATAAACACTAACAGTACACAGAAAATGTACATGAATTGCGTCACAAGCAAAATCTACTCATAATGCACTAAAATTTCTCTGACTCTCACTAACATAGGCTATGCTATATAGCTGCAATTATACAGTGTCCCATGATGAGTATATCAAGCCAAAATGTGGCTATGGTATCAACAATGTGGAACATGTTAAAACATGTAACAAAAATCAAAGTTTTAATTAGTAGCTTCATACAAAAACCAGTTTATAATTTATGCATTGTTTATGACAGCCCTGAATTTATACAACTACATTAATGGAAAAATTTGATTCGAGCCCTACACCCCAGCAGAGGGTAATAGGAAAGAATGATGTTGATGACATTAATGTATGGTAGGTCATTCAGCTAAACGTGTTAGAACATGATAGACAATAAAAAAATCGTTCAAGTAATTTCAAACAAGGAATACGATAAAAAATGCAACTATAAATTACTGTGTACTACGCCTCATTACATTTTGCAACCTGCTTAAGGCGAATGTTATTAATTTTTACCATTATTGCAAAAATAAAAGAAGCTAACTGATATGTCTACACTGCCAGAACGTACTAGCGACGCCGGCGGAGTCCTAGGTGTGTGTGTTTTGAATCCGCTGAGGTTACATGTAAGGTGCTCGAGCACGTGTTTCAGTTCACAAAATCCTTTTATTAGGTTGGCCGTAGTGTTGGGATTTTACAATTATATATTTTAAACTTTTAAACGTTTACGGATATAAATCTTTGTTAGATAGAAGCGATCCACGGTATCACTTACGTAACTTCGACATTAATGATATAGATTGTTTATCACGTGGTAAACGTAGCTTAATGAAAGCGCTTTCACAGGGACAGTACCCATTTGCCGGAGAAAAACCTATCGTGTGTGTGCACTAAATTTGTACAACCGGTATTAATGCGTTTAATTCCTGGTGGTACTGAATGGTTCCAATGCGTCTTGTGAGCTCTCTGTGTACCATGAAGCAGTAATACGTTTTGGTTTTAAGGATAGGGCAGCTGTTGTACTGTAAAAAATGAGACTTAGAACACGTGGCTCAAGATGAGTGACGGCATTTACATTGTTGATGTCTATGGTCTTCAGTAACTACTTAATACCATGAGGGTCGTGATCTCGTCCACCTATGTAAGCTATAAAAAAACAAAACAAATTCGCATCGTGTGGTATGTGGCCAACCTTATTTTTTCTAACGAATCATATTACGACACCTGGCCTAAAACATAATTCAAGGGTTGGCAGAAGAACAGCTTATTCGTTGTGTTCACGTATTTATTTTCCGAAATTAGGTACTTGGTAATGTTTGCGTTTTCGTCCAATCGAGTTTTCTAATAGAACACCATCTACCCTTTGTGGGACACTTGTATAATAAAAGTTATGATGCAAAAAAAATTATACATACGTTATTCATAGTTCAGTTTATATTTATTTTTTACAGGCTATTCAAAATAGTTGTACCTGCCGGAATTGGTCTGATTGCCATAACAGTGATCATAGATTCCATATTCTGGGGTCGGTTGCTGTGGCCCGAAGCGGAAGTTTTATGGTACAACACAATCTTAAACAAAAGCTCAAATTGGGGCGTATCCTTTTTGTTTAATGTTTATTGTCTAACTTCTACCAGCAAGCTAGTTCAACAAACAATTTGAAGATAACCAACATTGTAGCGATCTTATTATTATTATTTATTGCTTGGATGGGAGGACGAGCTCACATCCCACCTGGTGTTAAATGCTAACTGAAGCCCATAGACATCTATAACATAATGCCGCCACCCACCTTGGGATATGGGTTCTAAGGTCTTAGTATAGTTACAACGGCTGCCCCACCCTTCAAGCCGGAACGCATGATTGCTTCACGGCAGAAATAGGCAGGGCGGTGGTACCTATCCGTGCGGACAAGACGTCCTACCACCAGTTAAAAAGTTACTTTACAAAAAAAAAAACAAAATAATTAATTTAACTCAATAACAGACATTACCATTCCTATGGTATTTCTATTCAGCTCTGCCCCGTGGCCTTGGACCAAGCTTTATACTCATTCCAGTCGGCGTTTACCTAGACAGAAGACTTGTACCAGTTATAGCCCTATCTTTTTCTTATATACTTCTATATTCGTTTCTTCCACACAAGGAACTTCGATTTATTATTTACGTGTTTCCTTTGCTCAATTTGGCTCCAGCAAGTGTTATTTCTCATGTGTAAGTTCTGTGGCTTAAAATTAAAACTTTTGCTTAAATGTTCAGTGAAGATAAATTCTATACCGTTAGTATTATTAAATAATCTAATGTCGAGAATGTTCAGTAAAATTGTGATGCAATAAAATTCAAAATTAGACCTCATTCGATATCACCGTTTCATCAATCATTTCATAATCAAATTTTACCACCGAGAAGAATCAGCAAGAAACTTTTTCTTTTCCAAATATACGTACATCGCAACACAGAAAATTAACTAGATATTTTATATCGGTACACATAGAATGACTAGAACCAAGCACTGACCAAAGAATTGTCCATGTTCCCAGATACGTGCGGAGACAAAAAGCGCCTGTTTATGAATTATGTTTTTGGGCATCAATCTTAGTTCTCATCGGCAACTTGATTATGACTTTAGCTTTCGTTTTAGTCGCTATGACCAATTACCCAGGTGGTGCAGCAATTACAAGGTATTTTTTTCTTTATTATACATATTTTTCTTCAATATAATAGGGCTTAAAGTATGAAATTGCCGTTTTATTGTAATAGGTACTTCGAATTGGCATAGAACCTTCATGGTTTCAGATTTTTGTGTGAAATTTTTTCAAATGGTACCTATGAGATACTTCTTTTAAAAAATGTGCAACTTTCGATTATCGACTTTCAGCTTTTTTTTTATTCAGCTTAGAAAAGAAAGATGGATACTTTAGAAAATTATTACTGGTGGTAGGACCTCTTGTGAGTGCGCGCGGATGGGTACCACCACCCTGCCTATTTCTGCCGTGAAGCAGTAATGCCTTTCGGTTTTAAGGGAAAAAAAACAATTTCAATTTTTAGTACAAATCGGCAATTTCATACTTTAACCCCTAATATTTATTACATTACGAGTTACAGTTCTTTTCTTTTGACAGGTTCCACAAATTGGTGAAAAATGAGCCATACGTGAATGTACACATTTGCAATCTCGCGGCTCAAACTGGAGTTTCTCGTTTCACTCAAATTCACGATAATTGGTTGTATAATAAAACTGAAAATTTAGAACCACATCAGCTCGAAGACTACACTCATCTCTTAATTGAAGCTAAAAGCAAATATTCATCGAGTGTCAAAGCATTATCTGAAAGCCACGAAATCTTAGATAGCATTGAATCGTTTTCACATATCACTATAAATTNCGCGGCTCAAACTGGAGTTTCTCGTTTCACTCAAATTCACGATAATTGGTTGTATAATAAAACTGAAAATTTAGAACCACATCAGCTCGAAGACTACACTCATCTCTTAATTGAAGCTAAAAGCAAATATTCATCGAGTGTCAAAGCATTATCTGAAAGCCACGAAATCTTAGATAGCATTGAATCGTTTTCACATATCACTATAAATTATAAGTTTATACCACCAATAAAAATAAAGACAAAACCTGCCCTGTTCATTTTAGAGAGAAAGAATTTTAGAGAATATCCATATGGGCTAGTGAAAGATGATGGTAATCTGCCATATAGTATTGAAAATGAAATATTAACAAACGAAGATTCACTGGAACAAAAAGAGTTATTATATGACATAAATGAAGAAAACATTGAAACTCATGCCTTAGATAATTCTCATGAAGTTAATGAGAAAATTGTTACAATAAAAAACGTGGAACAGGTAACTAATGTGTTGATAGTAGATAGTACTGCTCCTGATGTTCCCAAAACATCGGAAGATCTTAAAGAAGATGTCTCAGCAGAAATCAAAGATAGGTTAACGAAAGAAGATTCGTCAAAATTAAAAGCCAAAAAAGCCTTTGATGACTTAAAATTGTTAAGGCAAGCCAGGAAAAAGAAAGCCATTGAAAAAATTAAAACGGAAACTCGCAAAGAAGTCGTTCAATCGGCAAAAGATAAACTAAGAGAAATAATGAAACGCCACCAACATATCGCTGAAGAAATATCAGAAAAAAAAGATATCATATCAGAAGTGTTAGTTTTGGATGACTCTGTAAGTAAACCAGAAGAAGACGGAAGAGGAGATATACCGGAATTAGAAGATGTACGTGGTGAAGAAGAGTTAGAAAATCAAGATCATACAGAACCACCCAAAGAAACATTGGGAAACATAGTTGAACTAAGCGAAGAAAATCCTACGAACGAAAATCTAGATGCTATAGTAGAAGAGGTTATAGTGAGACTTATAGATAGAAAAATATATGATGATAAAACAAAACCAGAAGATATTAAGGCTGAAGATAGAAAGATGATACAAAAAATTGTAGAAGAAGTTATCTCTGAACGAATGAATTATACTAAAAGTGAGACTTGATTAATGTAATATATGTTGTTGAAGTTTGTACATCTATATCTATACTAATATTATAAAGAGGAAAGATTTGTTTGTTTGTTTGTTTCGAATAGGCTCCGAAACTACTGGACCGATTTGAAAAATTCTTTTTTCATTAGAAGCCGACATTGTCCCTGATGAACATAGGCTACTTTTTTAAAAAAAAATTTATTTATTTTTTTGGTTTCATGTGTGTTTTAATGTTTCCGAAGCGAAGCGAGGGCGGGTCGCTAGTCTTTACTAAAGTAAGATCTATTTGTTATTTGTCTCTCTCTGTCATAGTTCACATATTGATGATGACCTTACCTTTTGTACTTATTGTTCACAAGCCCAGGTTTTTTTTTACTACTTTGTAAGTCTGTTGCTCATTTTATAGTTGTTCATGATATTGCTTTGTAGTTATATTAAACAACAGTTCTTGTATACTTATTGTTTTAATGTGATTTGTATTTTATAGTGTTAAGGCTAATGTTGCATTTCTTGCTTTTAAATATTCGTTTTTCTAGTCAAGTATCTCGTTAGTTAGTTCTATGCATCGAAACTTTATGTTATTAAAGGTGTATTTATATTTGTGCATGGAGTCATCAAATGTCCATAACACTCATCCTTCGTGTCAATTACATTTTTAAAGGAAATATTGTGAAGTTTTAATGTCTATAGCATCTAATGAAAAATTTTAAATGTCGAACCTTAAGTGATTAGATTTATAATACGTTTTACGGCCAAGAAAATTTATGGTACTTTTTTGTAGTTCTAATTTTTATTATTTTCGTAATGTTGTGTTGTTTGTATATCAATTGTATTTTATGCTGAATTTTATTAAATAAAAACAGAAGATATGTGTGTTGACTACATATTTTATTTCTCTCCTTACTCTTACAACTATTACAAACATATCAAGTGTATACCATGTTGCGACAGTGAGTTTTGTTCGAATCATATCGTACACAAAAGTTAAATCTTCGAATGTGATTATAAACTTCAGTTCGAACAGTTGGTTTTAGCCCACTTATCTATTGCTAAAAATAAAACTTTATTTGTAAAAAAAAAAAAGGATCATAATTGTATCTAAACACATATCAGTTTAAAATCTAAATTATTAATTAATATTATTAATATTAAAAACATAAAGAAAACCAATTCTAATCAGTCTAACGGATTATCACATTCGATAAACGCAAAATAATAATAGAATTGTTAACAAAATTCCGAAATGAAATATTTTTAATTGTCACCAAATAGAATAAATACTGGCCACTGGGCACTAGTATGATAAGTGAATTCTCGAATTTTTTTTAACAATTCTACTGCACCTGCGTGTATACGTATGTATATTGGCAAATGTCCCGGTTTACTAATTTACGCGCAATCTGTTGCTGTTTGCTTACACAATATAAAAGTGATTAAATACGTTTTTTTTTTTGTTTACATATAACATTAATGAGTACACATAAGTTAAACATAGAGTTGAAATAGAATACAATTATTCAGAACAAATAGAAACAAATAATTATAAAACTTAAAATGGCAACGATCAATAGGTGTAATATTTGTTTACTTTGTTAAGACTACAAAAAATTACATTTGAAAATTTGTTTACATTTAACGGATGACGCGAGGAACGCCGGACAGACTGCTGATTGCATTTGTTCACGAAATCTTAACTTACAACTAAGTTTAAGTTCAGTTTAGCAAATATTTACACGAGACAAGATCTTGTATTCACGAGTTCAACTTTCCAAACTGAAAACCTTATTCTATTAAACGAGAGTATTATAGATGTCCTTATGATCGTTTTTGGGATCTGTGTGCTCAGCAGAAAATACCCAGACTTGGCTTATTCATTAGGGGCGCTGGGCGGGACAGGGACATGTTTAATTTGATTGAAATGCCATTTTTGGGATAGGATTTTTATTAAATTAAATGTCTCAAAGTTATGACTACGGAAAAATAACAAGTATACTGAGAAGTAAATGAAAGCGAACGATGGAAACGTTATATTATTTAGTCTTGAGTTCAATATTACCATTTTCGCTTAATGATATTTTACTAGTACATTATTGAGATTTCAGATTCAGCAGCGATCCTCGACATAAATAAACCTCATTGAAAAATGATTTGACGAGAACATCTATTATGACAAATTTTTTCTGTACTATAGTTTAAAAATGTCAATTTTTCGATCTATTACATTGTAATGATGTGTTCACTATCAACAAAAGTTTTTAAGAAACTTCAAATAACTATAAAAGATCTATTTGAAATGGGTGCGTTTTTATTTATTTATATTAAAATAAAATTCTAGTAATATTTCATTCTAATATCTAGTAATGTATTTTTGATGATTAACATACGAGAAGAAAATTATATAATAATATTGCTAGATTATAAATTTATATTGTAAAAAAGTGTAATTTTAATTATAACATTATGATAATAATATATGAATATATTATCGTTTGCACTAGATTATAAAAACCAATTTAGTTACAGAATTAGTTATTATAAAATATTTTGACATTTAAATTAATATAAAAATTATATAAGAGCGCCTTTACACGGTGTAACAGGACTTAATATATATTATAATATAGCAAATGCAAAATAAAGGGAAAAATACCAATAAAATCGAAAAATGAGTTTGATCAAGTCGCATTATTTTTTTTCTGAAATTTAGCTCGAATACAATTACTGGCTTCAATTTCGTTATTTTATTAGTATTCTCCAGTCGAACCTTCCAGAACTAGAGTTGATAGACGGGGGACAGGGAGGGGAGACTACGTCCCAAGGCTTGCCTCTCATGGCGCCGAGGGCACAGTACGGAACCTTTAGCAGGTTCCTACCTATCTCGTATGGCTGCACATCCTCCATGTCGTCGCGGAGTCGGTGCAGCGCTCCCACCATCTGGTCCAGTGTGATCGCGTGCCCAATGAATATTACGTTACCGCCTGTTAAAAAAACATATTTTGTGAATAAACATTTTTTTTTCTCTATTATGGTTACATCTCAAGGTGGGCGGCGGCGGCATTTACATTTTAGATGTCTATGGGCTCCAGCAACCACTTAACACTACGAGGGCTGTGAGCTCGTCCACCCAAATAAATAATAATTAAAAAATAATTATCATCTAAAATTTAGCGATTACCGTCTTTTTCGGTGTCGTTGACGGCGGCCTGCATCGCTACTTCGCCACGTTTGAAGAACTCGTCCATTGTCTCGGCAGATGCATCCATCTCGACGTACGGTTTGTAACTAAAAAATGAATCGCATATTTCTGCATGAACTAGTAAAATATGAGGGGTTCTCTTCGGGTTATTGGCTGAATACGTCACTGGACCGTGTCACAGGGCAGTATTTGTCTGGTAACGATCTCTCACAGGGAGACAGGGGCTTACGAAAGAAACCTTTCGGAAAATATATTCGTACAATTAGTAACAATTACAGCGAAGAGTTCTTGCCTTACGAGTATAAGGGAATTTACGATTCCAAAATTCGAACTGTATTTTTTTTTCACTATATTAACAATTAATTGTACTACGAAAAAAAACTTCCTAAAAAGCAAAAAAAAAGTTATACAGAAGTCCTTTAAATACATAATATACAAACTACTGTATCCACAAACGTCACTTTCTAAACGGGACAGTGTGCTTAGTGCGAATTTTTTAACGTTCTCGATAGCGTAAAAGTTAACTCAACTTTGTATGCAGTTGGAACAGCGCCCCTAGCGGCAAACGTAGGCAATCGATCCCATTACACACTTTAAACTAACTTTTACGCTATCGAGAACGTTAAAAAACTCGCACTAAGCACACAGATCGACGGACATACATCTCTCTGTCCCCACTAAAAAATTTAAAGCCCTCAGTACTTAACTATCAATTTTTGTTTTTTTAATACATATCATTGTTAAATTATATTCTTTAATAAACCTTTCCAATAAACACATTAATCAGACAACCTGGAGCGTGCGTTTTCATTCGAATCAGTATAAAGGATTGCTTACGTCATGTCGACGTTGAGGCCGGCCTTGCACAGTTCGATGGGCGTCATGAAGTCGATTCCCTTGGGCATGTGCCAGTTCTTAAACTCGAACAAGCCCGGCTCTACTTTGATCTTCACGGACGGGTCCGCACGCAAGCCTGTACACAAACAGAGAGGATCTCAAGTTGAGTGAAGGCATGAACGCTGTTGATGTCTATGGGCTGCAGTAACCACTCTATTTTATTTTACTGGTGAAAGGATCTCTTGTGAGTCCACACGGGTAGGTACCACCACCCTGCCTATTTTTGCCGTGAAGCAGTAATACTTGAGACCTTAGAACTCATATCTCAAGGTGGGTGACGGTATTTAGGTTGAAGATGTCTATGGGCTCCCGTAACCACTTAACACCAGCTGTGAGCTCGTCCACCTACCTAAGCCATAAAAAAATATTTAAAAACCACATTATTTAATAGCACGTGGCCGTCAAATCGTCCCCTCATCTAAGCAACAAATATAGTTTATTTTATATACGCATATATCACATCAGCTGCGTTCGTTTCGCCGGTTCTTAGGAATGTGGCACTTCTTCGAACCGGTCGTAGAGTTTATTTTGCCTTGGCTAGATCAATAACAACTTACCGTCCAGGAATCCCTGAGCAGTCTCGACGCATCTCAGCGCCGGCGAAGCGTACACGTGCTTGATGGAGACGCCGGCCATCCTCATCCCCTCCCCCACCAGCTGCGCTTGGAACCATCCCAGTCTGGTCAGCGGGGTGTCTTTCACGTACCCTCCTTTACCACCGGCTCTGATAAAATCAAATTTGTTAGATTAGAAATAGAGTACATTTATTATAGAGAAATAAAAACAAAAAAAAATTAATGGCAATGATCAACAGGCGTAATAATTGGTTACTTTGTTAGACGACAAAGATTGTTTGACAGCAAAACTTGCGCCTTCTAGAAAGATCTAGGAAGTACTGTTTGAGTTACCGAGCTCACGACACCTCTCGTAATTAAGTGGCTTAATGTTATTGGTATTAAAGTGCATAGACAACAATGTCTGCTTCGAGCGAAAATAGGCAGAATGGTCCCCCACTCAGATACGGTACGGAGTCACAATACGCTCACAATTGATTTATTAATTTGACAGATTTCATAGATATATGAGTCGTCTATTATCAAAGGTGGCAATTTGTGCATTTGGACAAAAAAATGTTATTGATATGTCAATACAGATTGATTTGAAATATAATCGTCTCCTTCAAAGAATACGGTTCAAAACCTGCATTAAATAAAGGTTAATACTTAACCTGTTATTTATCTAAGATCTCGTTCAGAAGAGTTTTGTGACTGCCAATGGAATACAAAGTCAATAATTCGTTTTTCTGATTTACCAATAATTGTCCAAAAGTCACATTGCCGGCTTTGATAATAGACGACTCAGATATATCTTAACTTTTTTTCCTCTACTATTCGCTGGTAGCCAAAGAGGTTATTCCAGCTACGCCCGGATGGTTAGGTGAGCTCACGGGCTCAACCTGAAAAAAATAGCTAACACTAGCGAGAGTAGTGCTCCGCAGAATCTACCATCGGATCGGAATCGTGACCCACTGAGAAGATCCAGCGTTTTTTTTCCTACCTACGCTGATATCCTTGAGAGGCTATTTCAGCTTCACCCTAACGTGTGTAGGTGAGCTTACGGGGCTCAAACCGGAGTGTTGCTAACGCTGGCCTCAGCAAGAGCAGTGCTTCGCAGAATCTACCACCGGATCGGAAACGCGACTCACTAAGAAAATCCGGGGAGAAACTCATTGGGCTATGTCTATGGGTTAATTCGTTCGTCGAGCCCTTCGTCGCAAGCGACGGGATCGACAAAGATGGTGACCGGTGTTTGTGGTGCCTAACAGCACCGTTAATGGATAAGATCCAGCGAGAAACTTAGTTAGTTCGCTCGTCGAACTCTTCGTCGTAATCGACGAGTTCGGCAAGGACGGTAACCGGTGCTTGAGAGGCCTAAAAGCATCGAGAGTGAATCCGAGGGATCCGACAAGACAATCTTTACTTATACATAAGAATAGTTAATGAGGTACGGTTGGATCAGTGCGAGCACTTTGTAGTCGTCGTGGCCTAACGGATAAGACGTCCGGTGCATTCGTGTTGAGCGATGCACCGGTGTTCGAATCCCGCAGGCGGGTACCAATTTTTCAAATGAAATACGTACTCAACAAATGTTCACGATTGACTTCCACGGTGAAGGAATAACATCGTGTAATAAAAATGAAACCCGCAAAATTATAATTTGCGTAATTACTGGTGGTAGGACNCAGCAGAGCAGTGTCGAGGAGTCGCAAACACTTGGGAGCGTTGTCGCGATTGCCTACCGCCATCTCCTAAATAAGTCAACTTAAGATATAAATAATTCCTGAGACCTTAGAACTTGTATCTCAAGGTGGGTGGCGCATTTACGTTGTGGATGTCTATGGGCTCCAGTAACCACTTAACATCAGGTGGGCTGTGAGCTCGTCCACCCATCTAAGCAATAAAAAAAAAAAAAAAAGAGCATCACGGGCCTTAGGCGACGGACGCGAACCTACGAATGCGAAGCTATAATCCGAATGCTGCGTGTGATACCTGTGCGCCAACTTCAGCGGTAGGTTCAAATCTTTCCGCACGTAGGTGTCGTTCTCGAAGCAGTGCGGCACCCAGGGCCCGTACGTGAGGTCGACCCGCTCGCCGTGGCGGAGGGCGAACACCCAACGACGCGATTTTGAAGTACCGTTCGTTATGTTATTCTGAGATTAAATTTATTAAAAACCTTTTTTAAATAGCTCAAAGGGCCTAGTTATGAAGTACGGTAAGGTAACCCAATTACACTCTCTCTCTCTCTCACACTCCCTCTCTCTCTTTCTCCCCCTCCCTCTCTCTCTCTCTCCCCCTCCCTCTCTCTCTCTCTCCGTCTCCTTCTCTCTCTCATCTTCAAGCTAAATTCAACCAATGCTGAGTGTTGGTCTCTTTATATGCATTCCATTCTGTTCACTATCAGCAAACAATAATACATAGTAATAATGTATCGAAACTTTTACTGACCTTCATTTCTTCAGCTGCCTTCGACAATTCCCAATTCATAGGCAACCCTATAAATAAAATAAATAAATAACGTATCTTTTCAAATAATACAAAAAAAGAACTAAATTTCGATAATTTATCTTTCATCATGCACCTTGGTTGTGTCTCAGTCTTACTGAGCAATCAGATAGCTCAGACAGATCAGATAGCACGTAACCATTGTGGTTGGATGATCACGTTGGAATCGAAACGTTAATAATGAAATTCCGAGAGAAAATTCTAGAATCAGGTCCGTTTAGAAAGCACGTTTTCTAATTGGAAAACAGCTGTGTGACGAATACAAGACATCCCTCGTAGCTTACTTAATATATAATTAGCTGATATTCGTGCTTATTGAATTAAACATGATACAATAAACGTCTAGCGTATGATCCGCACGTTTTGTCTGCGCAAGTCTGCACTTACACTTAATTTCAATTTGAAATGACTAACTGGATATCATAAGTTTATATAGCAGTACTTTTTAATAGGTCGTATAGGCGTACAGGCTTATGGTGCTTTGCGGTTTCCGGATCCATTGTCACAAGCCGTGCCGATTTTTTTCGAGCAAGGTAATCTTGCATTTTCTGAGCAAGAGCTCTTAGATGGAATCTTACTAAGAATTAACTTTATTATAAAAATTCAATTATTATTGAATGAACTGGTATTAAGTAACTACACGACGGGAATCCTTATTGAACAAGTCTGAAGTCTGAAGTCGTCGTGGCCTAAAGGATAAGTCGTCCGGTGCATTCGTATGTAGCGATGCACCGGTGTTCGAATCCCGCAGGCGGGTACCAATTTTTCTAATGAAATACATACTTAACAAATGTTCACGATTGACTTCCACGGTGAAGGAATAACATCGTGTAATAAAAATCAAACCCGCAAAATTATAATTTGCGTAATCACTAGTGGTGGGACCTCTTGTGAGTCCACCACCCCGCCTATTTCTGCCGTGAAGCAGTAATGCGTTTCGGTCTGAAGGGTGGGGTAGCAGTTGTAACTATGTATACTGAAAACTTAGAACTTATATCTCAAGGTGGGTGGCGCATTGACATTGTAGATGTCTATGGGTTCCAGTAACCACTTAATACCAGGTGGGCTGTGAGCTCGTCCACCCACCTAAGCAAAAAAAATAAAAAAAATAAAAAAAACCAGGCGAAGAAAAGTGGTTTAAGTTTTATATTCACATTAGGATCAAAATCTTGAAAAAAAAAGAAGCAATTATAGCTAGTCAACAGTAAACACAGCTGCGCTACACATGTGTATTCATTCTAACAACTGAAACTGTGAAACTTTATCTTAATGTGGTATTTTCATTTTTCTTTCAATTTTTTTCTAAAATACTCTAACTCTCAATCGTAGTATCATTACTTATAACTTATGTATGTATTGTATTTCCAATACAATCAAACTTTAATATTTATTATGACCCATAAAAAACTAATATACGAATTTCCTAGTTTGCTGTGGAACCAATAATTTTAAATTCAATTTAATTTTTTTTTAACTATTCCATGTTTTAAATCATGCACTAAATATTTGAAACGTGTCATCTCATTTCGTTATCATAACGTTTGTGTCATGCATGATGTTCGCATATGAATACCTTGCGTTATGGTGAGTATGCTGTCGCTTCTAGAATTCATTACTTCGCTCCAATATTTATCCCATTCCTGGTACGTTTCCTCGGACTTCTTGTATGCCAGATCGGCGGCGTCTTCGTGAGGATATGTCGCGGCCATTTCACTATCGGTGTTCGAACCCGATTCAGATTTACAATCCGAGCCTAGCACGAGACACAAAACTATAAAATACACTGTTAATACTATCATGTCTGTTGTAGTTTGACGTCCGTTCAAATGGCTATAAAGACTCATGTACTTATATCAATAAACGTTAGGTGATTTAGTTGTCTTTATAAACGTCGCAGAAGATACAGTGTCGGGTTTAGTGGGGGCTGTGGGGGTTCACCGCACGCTCGACCCGTCTCGCTTTCCAGAGAACGTTGCCGCTCAAAATTAGAACAATGATCTTTTTATTACATTTATTATCTTTATAATGTAATGCTTTTAATAATCTTTATATATAAAGATGAATTGCTGTTTGTTAGTCTCGCTAAAACTCGAGAACGGCTGGACCGATTTGGCTAATTTTGGTCTTGAAATATTTGTAGAAGTCCAGAGAAGGTTTAAAAGGATAAATATAAAAATATAAAAATGCTCGAAATATAGATAAATATAAAAATGCTCGAAATTAAATAAAAATAACAATTTTGTTTTTCCTTTGATGTGTCCCCGTCGGACGGATTCCTTTTGTTTGTTTTAAGTTTATTTTATACCAAAGTTTAGATTTTTTTATTTATCGATTGAGGCACTACGAACTCTGCCGGGTCAGCTAGTAAATGATAATTATTAAGAATTATTATGAAAACATTTATGTTACCAATAATATCGGATAAACCTAACGTTTTTTCATTTAAATCAAAACTTTAAAAAAAAATGTAATAAAATAATTTACTAAGAAGGGTAAACTAGATGATCATGGGTAAACTCAAAATCGGGCGGATATCTTAGACCTTAGGATGTAAGATTGAAGCCTCAAATTGCATTGACAGTATTGGAGTCCCAGCGGAAACAGAAACAGCTCAATAGCAACAATGAAATTTATTAAACTGACATGTATTTAATACGAAATTCAGATCTGAACCTTAGTACGTCTATATGCACTTTAATAGCTATCTACGTTAGATACGAAAGATGATAAGGGTTCATCAATCTTTAATAAAACGTGTCTAATCGTTTTTAATTTAATTGAAATGAATTTAATCTGAGTGAAGATTTCGGACTTTTTATTTGCTCTTGTAGCCAGACGAACACGCGGTCTACATGATGGTGAGCGCGTCGCGCATGGACGTCAGCAGAGCCAAATCCTTGCCTAATGTAAGCTACTCTCCACAAGACTCGGTTGAATAAGGACATGTCATAACGCTCGGGAAACACCGTAGAGGAGAGCTCATTCCAAAGCCAGATAATGGCAGATCTAGTAAAAAAGATCTCTGGAAACGCACTTTGGATGAACGCAGATAAGATCTAGCGGCAGATATAGCGAAATAAACATTGTTACGCGCTGGGGTTAGAGATAAATTTTTTTTTTACCGAAGTACAAATTTAAACTGCAATAACACTTAGGACACTTAACGAACACTTTAAAATTCTCAATTCACTTCTTCCGCTTTGCTTTAGGTGATCCGTTCGCTGTTTCGCTTCGGGTAAATTCGATTAACTGCCTTCGTGACATCCCTGCAACGCTTTTATAGTCGATACGACATCCCTAGAACTATCGAGAACATTCCTGTCAAGTCGAATATTTTCGATATGCGCCATTTGACAATAGATGGCGTTGTACTTCTCGAGCGTTTTCGACCTTACTAGATCTTTTAATATTCGTTTCTGCTATTCGACGCTAGATGGCGTTACTCTTACCGGCGTAACAATATATTTATTAGGAAGAGCGAGTTCGTCAGTGAATACATTTTTGTTAATCTGCAATTATAGTGAATATTTTGTCTGCACTACACGAAGTAAAAAATAGAAGCGTTCGAGATGTGGTGTTGGCGAAGAATGCTCCGCATACCGTGGACCGCCAAGAGAAGAAACAAATCTATTCTCGAGCAACTTCGTATAGAAACGAGACTGTCGACGATTTGCTACCAGAAGGTTCTTGGTTACTTTGGTCATATTGCTCGGCGGCCACCAGACAACCTTAAAAGATTGATTGTGGTGGGCAAGGTAGAAGGGAAAAGACCCGCTGGCCGTTGGTCGGATCAGATAGCTGCGCTCACTGGACTCTCTGTTACGAACGCCCTGAGAGAAGCCGAAAACCGAAGCAAATGGAAGCTGAGGGTACAAAGAGCCACGAAGGGCTTTCAAGGACACGACCTTCAGCAATGAAGTATTCGACTAAGAAGAAGAAGAAGACATAAAGTGTAAGGTTTGTCTAGAAACGTCCAGTTGTTAACATTCAAATGTTCATAGCCATTGTTGCGTGTACCACCCTGCCTATTTCTGCCGTGAAGCAGTAATGCGTTTTGGTTTGAAGGGTGGAGCAGCCGTTGTAACTATACTTGAGACTTTAGAACTTATATCTAAAGGTGGGTGGCGCATTTACGTTGTAGATGTCTGTGGGCTCCGGTAACCACTTAACACCAGGTGGGCTGCGAGCTCGTCGACCCATCTAAACAATAAAAAAAATACTAACATGGTTATTAAAATAAAGGCCTGTCTAAGATTTCGCTGATATGTTATTATTTATACCTATGAGTAAGAAAAATGATAAATAAATAAAATAAAATAAAAATATTTTATTAAACATGATGACACGATTTATTATTTATAAACAATGCTATTAAAATTCTTAACTCAGGGTCAATGAACGAAATGTTTATCAGCTGATTTAATGTTTTTTAATCTTAATTGAAATTGTTTATCTAAATGAATATTGCTTTGGTGATTGAACGGGCTAAAGAGGTCTACTTGGCTATCGGAGCCCAAGTCTTCCATTACGGGCCCAAGTTCACAGATCGCAAGATCACAGAGCTGTCTCGGCTAGAGATATTTATGGGCCAAGATATTACGATACAAACAGGCAGGTTGTCTTAATATAATTTTGAGCTATATGAAAAAAAAATCACATTGAGGTTGCGGATTCTTGACTTTGACAACCCTATTCCATCAGAAAAAACGGATGCATACGTTTTTATTACGAACAACCAAACATTCATATTTTATTAACAGAGTTCAAATTTATGAGTTTACTATTCAATTCTGTTAACCGGTTTCCATATTTATCATCAGATCAGCTCACCGTAACACATGACAATTTTATGAATATACCTAATAAAATATTGTTTGCTTCCAACGCTTGAAAAAAAATTAAATTATAAATCTACAGCATTTAAAAACATTCTAAACGAAATAGCAACTAGAAAGACATAGAATACTGTTATATAAAAATCAGTTTAAGTCTGAAACAAATATAGTTTGGTATCTAAAATCTTTGAAGTAACTCACAGTTGTTTCCAAGTGANAATTTTATGAATATACCTAATAAAATATTGTTTGCTTCCAACGCTTGAAAAAAAATTAAATTATAAATCTACAGCATTTAAAAACATTCTAAACGAAATAGCAACTAGAAAGACATAGAATACTGTTATATAAAAATCAGTTTAAGTCTGAAACAAATATAGTTTGGTATCTAAAATCTTTGAAGTAACTCACAGTTGTTTCCAAGTGAGACTGCCTTATGTAAGGTCCACGCGTCAGTTTCCGCGGTGCGTCGCGTGTACACAGCAGGTAGATACCCGTTTAAGCCTTAAAAAAACAATTGATTATGAACTAAAAAAGGCCTTGCCACAGTGTAAAATAAACAGTCATCTCGATCGAATGAAGAACGTTATTTAGGACAAGGAAATGACATCTATTGACATGATATTTGACAACGACATTTGACCAACGACAAATACAGCTGTCATTTAATATATATATTGGCTCTATATAAAACTAGATTAAGAACATTTTCAGTAATACAATTTATGGCCAGAAACTGCTTCCGTTTTTTTTCAGTTTCATTTCAAAATTATATTGTAATACAGCAAAAGCTCATTATTCGCGTTTCCTTTATTCGTGTTTTGACTATTCGCCCATTATAAAAATACGACCAATTTCCTATATTCGCGGCTTAAGATTTCTTTACTCGCAGATCTAATTGATACATCGGTACATACACATTTATCAAGAGGATTCCAATATTGTAGGTAACTAACCGAATATCCTTTGTAAACGCGTCGTCAAATTGACTAATAAAAAAAAAGTAAAATACACCTTATTATAACTACGCCTAAAGTGTGTTTTTATTTTGACACCTAGGAACGTATCACCTTATAACCCGGTATGTTTATACAATCTTAAATAATTTTAGAATCGATAAATCCTATCAAATTGACAGATATTTTCGTGATTTGTGACATTGACTTTGGACCGTGACAGTCACGCAGTGCGTCGATTATCTAACAATTCGGAAAACATTCATAGAAAAGTAGATCCACTAGATTAGATATTATCAATAAATATTGTGTGTTTGTAATTTCATAATCTGCACGGTGTACGATAACATTTGAGCACAGATAACGTCAGAAGCTGTCAGTAAATAAATGTTTCATGACATTTTACCAGCCCCAATTTAAACATACCTAGAGTTTTACTTCATCCGCTGTTAATTATCCGCTCATTGGCCTAAAGAGGCTCAAAATAAATCATAACCGTAATAGTATTTTTGTAATTTACAAATGATAAATAGCTTTGTTTGTTTGTTTGTTTTTAAGACTGATATCCCGAGTTCGATATTATTAAATTTCAATAAGCTTCGTTAATAGTTTGAATACTGATGACCATGTACCTGTGTATCCATTTCAAGTATTAGGTACCTAGAAATCAGAATGTGAAGATTGGATCTTCACACTTTTATAATTTAATGGCTGCATCACGTCATTTCGGATCCTCCCGATCCACTAACGATGCTTTTAGGTACTTCAAGCACCGGAGAATAGCCTCTCAAGGCTATCAGCTAAGGTAGAAAAAAAAAAGGAAAAAAAGGCTGCATAGAAGTGATCGCTTCTAATTTTAACACCGCTAATTGAATTTCTCTATGCGCAGATATCAAAACATACACTTTCGAATCTCTTATAAATACTAAACGATAACAGTTCGATTAATTAATTTTCTTTGTTCCAATAATCGAGTTCGTAAACTTTGGGAACAATAACAGCGTTTTAACTTCAGCTACGCAAAGGTTCGTTAAAGTTCATGTTTGCATTTCAGAATAATAAATAATCTTGTAAGTTCTTTCGTAAGATCCTTCGTCGCCAAATTCGCTCACTTATAACACATTTTTAAATATTTTAATGTAACTAACATGAAAGTTTTCGATTGAATTACTTATTTTTGTTGTTTTATGTTAAATTATGTATTATTTATTTATTTAAATGGACTATTTATAAGTCGAAGATGCTACTCACGGCTGAAGGCGGCACGTGTGTCCCTAAAAGTATCACAAGCACAACTGACCTTCCAAATTCAAGTTCAACAATCGAAGCAACGCTCTCGTGTTACTCAGCATTTTTCACGTGACCCTGATGTACTATCGCCGACACACAACGCTTTTAGAAAGACGTACCGTCTTAGAATAACTTAACATTATTGTATTGTTAAATTTAAATAACAATAAAAAAAAAAACGAATGCAAACACATATTACGCATACATCACTAAAGCTTAGACGCTTCGATTTTTACATTAGAATAAACAATAATACCAAAAATGTCGATATGCACTAATTCTATGTATCGCAGTACGCCGGTAGCGATTAGCAACTACGAAACATTAATGGCATTAAAACGATATCAGCACTGATTAGGTTATAATTTAAAAAAGGGAAAAATAAAATCCTACGTCTGAAATACAATTACGATTGTAAACATTGAAATGAAGTATTTTTAACGTTGGCTTTTTCAAGAACGTAACAAAACGTTTATTAGGCTTCTCCGTTCTTGAGTTACCTACAAGTACAGTCAAACCTGGATAAGCGAGAGTTCAAGGGAGCACAATCTCATTCTCGCTTATAGAGGTTTCTCACTAACCCGAGTTTCTCGCTAATGCTCCCTCTGAATTTCGATTCGCGATTTTCCGCATTCAAATGCATTCACTATTTTAAGTTTATGACTTTAATGACAGTACTTTAATTTTCCGTTTTTACACGATGCAGAACAGAACTTTCCTTCGCAATTGATGAACAGAACTTTCCTTCGCAATTGATTAACGATAAACTGTTTTTTTTTTTTTTTTCCTACCTAAGCTGAGAGCCTTGAGAGGCTATATCAGCGTAACCCTAACTTTTGTAGGTGAGCTCACGGGGCTCAAACCTGATGACGTTGCTAACACGAACCCTAGCAAGAGCCGTGCTTCGCAGAATCTACCACCGGATCGGAAACGCGACCCACTGAGAAGATCCGGCGAGAAACTCAGTGGGCTGTGTCTGAGAGTTAATTTACTCGTCGAGCCCTTCGTCGCAAGCGACGGGTTCGACGAGAACGGTGACCGGTGCTTGAAGTACCTAGAAGCACCGTTAGTGGATCGGGAGGATCCGAGATGACGTGTTTTGGGCGACGTCGACTGCTTTCCATTCTGTCCGCAGGATCGGGAATGTAGTTACCGGCGGCCACGATGAGAGGGTTCTCGTGTCGTGCCGCTTTATCGAAGTGGCGCATCGACGCCGACTGCATATACTTACTGGTGGACTCTAAGTCCAGGTCGTCATGGAGGTCGACGTTCCTGACGAACCACGGGGCTCCGACGGCTATCCTGCAAAAACGGGATTGAATAATTTGGAATGACTTTAAGTGAGTGCGGGCCGCGTGAGCGAACACTACACTTGCATAGGTCATGACGGGGCGTATGCAAGTTTTGTAGAGTGTCACCTTATTTCTAAGGGACATTTTACTTCGCCTACATATCATCGGGTAGAGACGTCCTAGAATGAAGGCGGCACGGTCGCGTACCGTCTTGATGTGAGGGCGGAATGTCATCCTACTGTCGAGGGTGACGCCTAAATATTTGACCTTCGGGGCCCACGGTATGGGCTGGTTGAACATCGTGATTGGGCGAATGGCGGGAGCGGAGGTGTTGACGCGCCTAGTCGGGAGGGGGATGCTCAGCGTGGTGTTCGGAGGGCGACCCCTTTTGAAGAGCACCGCTGTGCTTTTCGTGGGGTTGATGTCGATTAAACTGAGTAAGTTCGACAAACAGGACGGTACACAGGCACACGTGTCGATTCGAAAATAATGCGATAAAAGAATACGATAAAATAACAACGTTATTTAGTTCCACGAAATAGAATAGGTTCAATATTCACGGGAAAAGCATACAAAAACAATGATAAGAAGTTCCACGAAAGTTAAAAATGAGTCATAAAATAGCAGATGTTAAATTTGTAATTTGTTTTGTCATTTGTTCCTCCTAAATAATATAAATAAATAAATAAAGCTCGGCTGTCGCTTATAGAGGTATAGATATGTAGCAGTCTCACTTACGGAGGTCCATGAGGAAAAAACGACTCTCTCTTACAGAGGTTTCTGTTTCTCGCTAATAGAGGTTTTGGGAGCTTAAAATGACGGGTCCTTGCTATTACTCTCACTTATAGAGTTTTCTTACTTATCCAGTTCTCACTTACCCAGGTTTGACTGTATATTAATAATAATAAACAAGGCATTGTCAATGCACTTTACGAGTATACTTAAGCGTGTCTGTCAATGCGGTTTTGTATTTCGACTAGAGTAGGTACGTAATCAAAATGTTTTTTGTAACGAATACATAATTAAATAAGCAATTTTATTATTTCTTTCGAATGGGTCAAGCCTATAGTGTAAATTTCATTAATTGACAATGTTTATTATACATAGTTAAAATGTCACTGAGACAATTTATTCGAAGTGTAATGTTTACAAATTATGTAATACATATGTGTAATTTGTGAATAGAAGTTAAAACGATGATTGAATTTTAAAGTCATCAATGCACGAATGTTTTTTACGAACATAATATCTAAAAGTAGACAGAACAACCCACTTAGTTTATCAGCGGATCTTTTCAGTGGGTCGCGATTCCGATCCGGTAGAAGATTTAACGAAGCGCTGCTCTTGCAATTGCTAACATTAGCTTAGTTTTTTATTTTTATTTTTTTATTGCTTAGATGGGTGGACGAGCTCACAGCCCACCTGGTGTTAAATGGTTACTGAAGCCCATAGACATCTACGACGTAAATGCGCCACCCACCTTGAGATATAAGTTCTAAGGTCTCAAGTATAGTTCCAACGGCTGCCCCACCCTTCAAACCGAAACGCATTACTGCTTCACGGCAGAAATAAGCAGGGTGGTGGTACCTACCCGTGCGGACTCACAAGAGGTCCTACCACCAGTACAGTGTTAGCAATTCTCTCAGATTAAGTCCATGAGCTCATCTACCGTTCCGCGCAACGTTGGAATAGCCCTTTACACTGCCCTGGCGGCCTGACGGCAACCGCGGAGACCGATGTCGTTGGTCGTCGACTATCGCCTTGACGACGCGTCGGTTCGGCGTCCCCGGGGTGACGCCGCGAGTCTGGTTATAGTGTTGGTCGTGGAAACCCCGCTACTCTGACCGAGTTATGAACCCGGGCGGAGATCGGACGTCGAATGAAAGACTGTAGGGGAGTGCAGTCGTTTAGTGGGTAGGATCCTAAAGTACATCCCTTGGCCCCGCAGTCGGCTCCCAACCTCTGCGGACTGTCCAGTCCCACATGCCCTCAGACCTCGTAGGAAGTTCAACCCCCGGCCCGAGAAAAAATAAATAAAAAAAAGGCCGATAGGCTATCAACGATAAGGTAAAGAGAAAAAAAGTAGACAGAACGTCCCGCTCATTCGTGCGACCTCGTCTTGTACTTTTTAGGCATTTAAACTAATTTTTTCCCCTACCAATCGCAGGTGGCTTAAGAGGCTGTTTCAGTTACGCTCAGACTGATAGATGAGCTCACGAGCTCAACCTGAGAGAATTGCTAACACTAGCAATGCTTCAGAGCAATGCTTCGCCAATGAACAAATTGATAGTAAAACAAAACCATTATAAAACGCAAACTTAATGGATTATTCTATTAGTAACGCCAATTAATTTAAATTACTTTTACGATTTAATCTCGCGTCATTTTTAATAATCATTATATTATTTTCGTGGTCACGGGACTTACTACTTATCATGTCTACTGAAAACAAAAAAAACGAACATTTCAGGATTTTCTTACCAGTGAGCCATGAAGTTCCATGGACCCATCCGTCTGGAGAAATATCGAACTCCTTCTCCTCTATATAAATGTAATCACCGAGCACCAATTCTAGTTCATCGCTGGCTTGAGGCGAATAACCTTGAGTCACTTTGTACACCTATGGGGAAAATGGTATTCTTTAATGGCGAGACGAACTCAGCGTCAACTGGTCAACATTTCATCTACCAGCGCATATCAGATTGATCGGTTGAATACTTTTGTAAAATTTTCACATTTCAACGTTATAATACCGTTATCTAACTATCAGAAGTTTTTAAGAATATGCATGTAATTTTTTCTTCACTCTTTACTTCTAGCTATTTTTGGACTTTTACAAGAACGGTAATTTATTATTTCTTTTTTCTATTTAAATTTTGTGTGATACGTTGTGTGCTAAGCCTACACCTTACATTCAATATTATTTACAAGAATATATAAAGATGAGTTTATTTTAAAACCATTAGGTACCTATTTTAGCATATTTCACACGCATCGCAGAATTCTTTTTTACTAAGATTAATATTCTATGCTCATACATAACAAAACATCAAATATTCTTGAATACCTACTTTATCATGGAATAATTTGTATAAAGTAAATATAAATTTCAATCAATTTTCTAATTAGTTAAAAATAAATATTATTACAAAACAATTAAGGAACAAAGAAAAGTTTTGTTATTCTCTCGATTGTACTATCTACTATCATTTTGTATGTAATGTAATTAAGATATTTATTTAGTTTTAATTAACATTTGTATTTAAATTATTCAATTAATATCGAGAAATTTTAAATACCTACAGTACTATCACGTTATAAATATCGATGTAGAGCTAACAAAACAGTCAAAAAAACATTTCAATTAAAAAGTTATGTGACTGAATCTTAATCTTAGTTTAAGTTTTAGTTTAACACGAGTTTTATTTTTACATATTATCGAAAGATATATATACATATACTAGCTGACCCGGTAGACTTCGTAGTGCCTCAATCGACAAATAAAAAACCTAAGCTTTTCTATAAAATAAACTTAAAACAAACAAAAGTAATCCGTCCGACGGGGGGCACATCAAAGGGAAAACAAAATTGTTATTTTTATTTATATTTCGAACATTATCATTCGTTTATCTACCTTTTAAACCTTCTCTGGACTTCTACAAATAATTCAAGACCAAAATTAGCCAAATCGGTCCAGCCGTTCTCGAGTTTTAGCGAGACTAACAAACAGCAATTCATTTTTATATATATAGATAGAAGATAGATTATATCATAGTACAATGACAGTTTCATACAACACTATTGTTGTATGATATGTGCGAACTCTTTCGTTAAATCTATATTTAACGAAAGATTTATAAGCTCGCAACATTCACGTGAATTTCATGCCAAAATATTTAGATATCAAAAGATATTTCTGAAAGCTGTGTTTAATATTGGTTATCATAAATATATTTTTGATTTCAACTAAGTTTTTCATTGGATTCACCCAAAGAAAATGTCTTCCCCAGAAAATGTTCGGTAATTTTGTCAAATTGATATGGTAGCCCGAATCATTGAATAAATCAATATTAATTTAATTAAGTAGTTAATAGATAGATTGTTTCAATATTATAAGCACAGCAACGCTGTAGGTACTTCCTACATGATAGACAGTTCAATTTTTTCACATACACATTTATTGCCATGCAGTGTGCTTAGTGCGAGTTTTTTAACGTTCTCGATAACGTAAAAGTTAACCCAATTTTGTATGCAGTTGGAACAGAGTCCCAAACGTCCCTAACGGCAAACGTAGGCAAACGATCCCATTCCATACAAATATGAGCTAACTGTTACGGTATCGGAAACGTTCAAAAACTCGCACTAAGCACACTGGTCACCAGTGTCCTACGTCATAGATAATACATGTGGAGCACTGAAGTAATTATATCGATTTCTGTTACTAAGGCGTCGGAATAATAAGTAGACTCTGGGAGAGACGAATTGGAATATGCTAAGAACGAATCGATTTCTATCGACCTAAAAGACTTACATTAACAAACAAAATAATATAAAGTTGTGCAATCAGGCGTTTAGTAACAGAAATCGATTTAATTCCTTCAGTGCGCCACGTAGGGCACCAGTGACCTACATGGCAGTCAAAGGGCTAAAGTACCCGCTGATCTGATGACATTATGATGTTATAAACTAGTTCTTTCATTATGAATTTATTGTAACTATAACAGCAAAATCAAACCAGTCGACAATACATTTGATACCGACCTAATATCTCATTTCTTACGGCCATATAGAAAGGTATAGTTTGGAATCATCCCGATTACCTGATGATTAGCGAAACGTGGATCCCTCGAATAAAGCCTGAGCTCCCAGCTGGAGTGTTCGACTGGCTGCATCTCCTCCACCAGGCTCTTCAGATCCTCATACGATGATTCCTCAAAATGGTACGCCAGTGTGATATGAAGAGATTTTACGTGCGCTTCCAGGTTTATTGATGCTATTGTTCAAAAATATATATTAAATAAACTTATTCGTTCTTAATGTCATTCAATATTTCTAGTAAGCTTAAATATCTATTTCAAGAAAATACGTATTGGTGATAAGTAAACTACGTTACAATATACGTATGAAATAGAGCTACAGCATTTTTTATTTCAAAAATCAACTACGGCAAATTTTCTAAACACAGCAAACAGAACTAAAAGATTCGAAAGAACTAATTGTTATTAAAATAAATGTAGCATATAGGTATATATGTACGTATTATATAAAAGCGTATTTACCTTAGAAGCATGTAGTGTAAGATTAAATTGGCAGGCCGCCACTGAAGAAAAAGGTGGTGTTTTTAGGCTTGAATAAAATAAATACATTTGAATCACGTGCATTGAAATTTTTTAAACTAGACAATTATATTGTTTTATTTCATGCCATGCGACAAACAATATACATAGCAGCAGTTTCATATTAACAAAAGGATAGGTAGATTACATCACATTTCGTTCCTTCCACAATTATAACAGCCTTAATCTTGGATCAATTTCTTGAACTTTCCCATTTTAAAAGTTTGGTGGTAAAACATTTCCAGGTTTTTCAGGTAAGGTACCCCATGATCTGTAAGACCCCGTGATCTGTAAGCGGAGTAAAATGTCCCTTCGGAACAAGGTGACACTTTACAAAACTTGCATAAGGCCCGTCATGACTTACGCGAGTGTGGTGTTCGCTCACGCGGCCCTTACACACATAGACACCCTTCAATCTCTACAATCCCGCTTTTGCAGGTTAGCCGTCGGAGCTCCGTGGTTCGTGAGGAACGTTGACCTACACGACGACCTGGGCCTCGAATCTATACAGAAATACATGAAGTCAGCGTCGGAACGGTACTTCGATAAGGCTATGCGTCATGATAATCGCCTTATTGTAGCCGCCGCTGACTACTCCCCGAATCCTGATCATGCAGGAGCCAGTCACCGTCGACGCCCTAGACACGTCCTTACGGATCCATCAGATCCAATAACCTTTGCACTAGACGCCTTCAGCTCTAGGAGCAGGCTTAGGGACCTCGGTAACCGTACTCGTCGAACTCGACAAAGAGTTCGCCGTGCAACCTAACCCATGAATCAGCTCGCTGAGTTTCTCGCCGGATCTTCTCAGCGGGTCGCGATTCCGATCCGGTAGTAGATTCATTCGCGAAGCAGCT